ACGTTAACCATTCAAGGGCACCGCATTTACCAGGAACATCAAAGTGTGCCATGATCAGTGCCTCTTATGCCCTGGCCGTTCCTAAAGAAGCCATACGCGCGAGGGAAGGACCAAAAGTAAGGTTGGCCGGTAAGATTAAAAAGCATGCATTTACACCGTGGCAGCAAGAAGCCCAAGACGGGGTTGTTTGGTAAATCATGGGACAGGCTTTCGGCAGGCAATGGGCCTCCTCAGGCTGATAATGATAATACTGTATGATAATTTAGCAAGACACCTTTATTGCAAGATAATCAACGAAATTTAGGTTGGTCTAAACTTTTCTAAGAAGCGTCACGATTACTGCTGGATATACGGGGCCGCGGTGGTTACGAGTAAAGCCCCTATAACTTCGGAAAATAGCGAAAATCTCCTCCACCGCTCGCCTTTCTCCTCAATGTTCTCTCTTTTGCACTCGCACTTTGAACGTGGCGCCACCTGCCTTGTTCTTGCGTAGAAGATGTTTCACGAAGAGAGAGCTTGCTCGGCCGGCATTGCGCTGATAGCATTCCCGTCAGCACTCTAAGTCACGATTAAATTATCTTAGCTAGTGTAACGTTAGCTCATATCAGTTCTGTTTAGTGCCATGCGCAACGCGTACTTGTGATCAGGCCTTGATTGAGTCGCTCGTCGTCGCAGTGACCGATGTTAACTTTGTACACACCACCCCTTAGCATGTATGTTCGTAAACGTACAAATTGGCAGATTCCACGTACAGTGGGAAACGATGATATGCGAAGCACGAATAAGGAATGTTGATATGTCACTTTGAAATCAGCCCAACGTTAAGAGGCAGACGTAAATTGTGCTCTACATGACTTCAATGAGATGATTATCTTGTTTGAACATGTCATTTAGCTTCGTCATCTATGCAAATCGCCTGATCCCAAATTTGGTATATACCGAGCTAGAGAAAGGGCAGGGAGCGTGCTATGAGTGGAGCATGTTGTATAGTTGTGGCATGAAACCCATTTCATGATTATCTTGTTCGCGTCAATCACATACCTTCGTCGTCTATTCACATCCCGTTATAAAGTAATCGAAATTTCTGAAGCTAGCGACATGACGGTAAGCGCATAATGACCGGCGCAACATACTCTTAAGCAATGTTGACGCGCGCACACGCTCAGAGCAGCGACGCCATGCTAGCAAAACGTGACCACTATATAGTCTGACGCCAGGCGCTACCAGCGTCCATCGGCGCGGCCCGGTGGCAACAGGCTCGAAGTGCGACATGCTGCATTTCACGCCGACGACGTTACACAGACAGCACCGCGTCTACCTCTCTTCTTGACGGAGGGACGCCGGGCGCGCTCAAAAGCCCATGCGTCAAAACAACGCAGCGAGGCGCGCGCCAGCGAGTATATGTCAGGAAGAATGGCACCTGGGCGTGGCATCGCCGGTGCGCACGCGCACCGGGTCACGTCGAAGTGTATTGGTGCCAGATTATGGCATGTAGTCATGCTCTTGCATGACACGCATCTCATGATTATCATGTTTGGACGTGTGCTTTACTTATGTCATCCAGTCGCGTAACGTAATACTCAATTTGGCACATGTGAAGCTAGTGAAACGGTCATGAGTGCATTATCAGCGTAGCATGGAACCACGTTCTTACATCACATGCACCTGATAATTATCATGTTTGCACCAGTCGCACACGTTCGTCATCCATTAACGTCCCGCAATACCAAATTTGGTATATGTGAAGCTACTGAAACGGCCGCGGCCGCATCATAAGCGTGGCATGTAGTCATGATTTTACATCACACACTTCTCATTATGGTCATGTTTGCACCAGTCACATACCTTCGTCATCCAATCACGTCCCGTAATATCAAGTTTGGTAAATGCGAAGCAAGCGAAACGGCCATGAGCGCATCAAGAGTGTGGCATGTCATCATGTTGGTACATGACACGCATGTCATGATATTCATATTAGGGTCTGTCGCTTGTGTTCGCCATGCAGTCATACCATATCATACCAGTTTCGTAACACGCAATGTGAACAAAACCATTGCAAGAGCAGCATGACCACGAAATATAAATTATGATATATATTACACACATGTCATGACTTTCATGTATACAATTCACTTATGCTTGTATTTCAGTATTGTACCAATATCAAAACGCTCAGAACAGCTAAACGTCGTAGGCAGATAGATAGATAGATAGATAGATAGATAGATAGATAGATAGATAGATAGATAGATAGATAGATAGATAGATAGATAGATAGATAGATAGATAAATAGATAGATAGATAGATAGATAGATAGATAGATAGATAGATAGATAGATAGATAGATAGATAGATAGATAGATAATGCTTGAAGTCTCCTCAATTCACTATGAAATGGTTCGCATTCAAAAAACGTGATCGTCAGTGAGAAACCCCGTTTTTCGTGAGCTCGTCGTTTAGCGCGTCTTCGGATAAGCTTTGCATTATAAATAACATCGCTCAGATGTTCATGTGCGGTTGCTATGACTAACCTTTTTGTTAGCTGGCTCGATAGCGCCCGCAAGGGCAGTGAAACTGCATGGGTTCCGCAAGCTTCACCATGCATAGGGTACATAATATGTGCAGAGAGCATTCACAGTGACTATCATGCAGTGCAAGCAATACCTCACGTTAACGCTATCGACGCGAGGCGGTGATATCGCCGACTGCATACTTCAGCATTTAGTAAGGCTTCATAATGCATCAAAAAAACGCCCAATGTAAGTGTTCGAACAGCTGTTATTGTTCCTTGAAGTGGCTGAAGGCGCAGCAATCATATTTCAATGTGCGCCTTGGGGACCTATCTCACATACGGAATAAATCGCCTAAAGAATGAGCTAGTGTATGAATGAAGTAGCGTGCCACCATACGCGATTACATCGCGAGAGCTCCCCTCGCGGATATAAACTTTCACAAAAAATAGCAAATAAACTATCATGTGAAATGACACGTATGTGTGAGGTTCCTAAACCACGCACTCAATGACCCGAAAGAATGCACGCATTGCATAGCTGCCCTCGCATCGCGAGGCCCCCGACTTATCAGTCAACTTGAAAGAGCCAAAGAAAGCAAGTTGCCTTGAAATATCTAAATGTGAGTTGCTGCAATCTAAATGTGAGTTGCAATCTAAAAGCAATCTAAATGTCAGTTGCTGCAGTCCAGTTTTGTTTATTCAAAACAGAAACGCGAAATCTCAGAAGTTTGGCAATCACAATTTCGAGCGTCTTTGCGCGTACATTCTAAGCGCAAATTATGCAGCCTATGTGGGAGGGGCCCAGCTCTTGAGGACTAGCCAAGGCTCGTGGAGCGGGCGCTAATTTCAGCACAATCCAACGGAGTTCTAGAATAGGGACCCGCCCAGTCCTCTTTTTATCTACATTTTCAGCAATAAATGTTTTATTCATTCATTAATTCATTCATAAGCACACAATCCAGCACCACGCACTCAAACCAGTCGGCACCGAGCGACAAGCATAATACGTAAGCATAAATTACTGACAAAAAAACTGCCCCCGCAGAAGCTTTCATGAAACCTTACTGAGAGATTGCAACGTCCTGCACAATTAACTGTCACTTGTTTATGGTGTTTGAGTAGGAATTGAACTGATCAAACATCTAAGCACACTTACATAGAGAGGTGCGCAACTTACTTCGTAAAGTGGACTTGAATATGTCGGCCTGAAGTTCTCACTTGCTCTTGTATGTAACCATGTCTTTTATTGCAACACGTTGTGCTTGACGGGCGGTATCGTAAAAAGCTTTCGGCCGTCACTAGGATTGCTTCGGCAACAGAGGGTGCAATAACTACCGAAGGCAACGAACGACGACGCCATTCTTGGATGAAAAGCATTTCACAGAACGGCGTGTACAGAAGGACAAGCCCGTATCTGTCAAAACAGAAGCGCTGTGCCCAAAGGAGTACGCACCTCTAGAGCAAAGGTAGCAGTCACAAGCGACTGTAAACAAACGAACACTGCGAGCGGTCCCACATGCTGGCATCTGGCCGATACCGACGCGGCGCAGGCTTCGGAGTAGGGGGAGGAGGGGTAAAGAGAGGAGGCGGTGAATAACCACGTATGTCACGACATTGCGAATTTTAGGAGCTATAGTTACGAGTGATCTAGAAGCGTACGTGGCTTAGCAGTTACGTAAGTACAAAGACCAAAGAAGCTTCTTTGGTAAGTAATGTCAAAATGTTGAAGCTTTACTAGCTGCTGGTTGAAGTAAAGAGATGGCACGAAGGCCGTTAATTTTGCTCGTAACAAGTAAATACATGCACTGCCAGTGGCTAACTTTAGCCCCTGAGAGTGTGCTGGCCATACGAATACGTAGCGGGATAACTTCCCCTATGGAAATCGGTAGTGTGGTTGTACCACTTGAGATATGTCACCAAGAAACTATTGATCAACCGTAGTAATGTGCTTTGCATGCTTTTGCAGTTCTTAACGCATCTGAGTACATCAAGTTGATGGGACGTTGATTCTTAACGAGATAAAAATATCAAGATGTCTTTCCTTGATTGATTGATATGTGGGGTTTAACTTCGCAAAGCCACCATATGGTTATAAGAGATGCCATAGTGAAGGGCTCCGGAAATTGCGACCACCTGGTGTTTTTTTACGTGCATTCAAATCTGGGCACAAATGCCTACAGCATTTCCGCCTCCGTCGGAAATGCAGGCGCCACAGCCGAGTGGCGAAGATGTCTTTCCGACGTTGAGGAATTGTAAAAATGAAATTGACCTACCCAGCCACTTCTGGAGAAGCAATGGAGCCAGTTGTTTTTTTTTTCCTTCCGAGGAATTAAAGAGAATGAAACTGCGGTCAGTTATCCTTGCTCGGATTGGAATTACAATGAAATGGAGGCGCCGATTCCGCAACACAGCTTGAGACATCAGACATCGGGAATGCACCGCGAAAACGAACAAAACGAGCAAATACAGGTTAAATAGAGACAGAAGAGGAAAACAAAATACTTTATTTACAAAATATATGAGGCGTTGGTCAACACATGCCCGCATAAGTTTACGGGCAAGGTAAGCTCAAACGTATACAGGTTACAGCACGAAACATAATAGCTAACGACGCGTGCTGCTAAAGCAGCAACTTACGTCCTAAATACTATATTATAAAAGCCAGGCCTTGTGTATGCCCATTTTTATTACACGATTGTCTTCTAACACATTCATCTGTGCACAAACGTATTCGCAAAAACAAAATAAACTTGGCCATTTGCTAACGAAAGTATTTTTTGTGGCGCGACTCTTTGAGACAATATAGTTCACAATACCGACTAGCCACATATCAACTTAAAAAGACATTGTATTGTTTTCTGCAATGTTTTGGTATTCTAATTTTCGCAGTGCACTATGTCTTTAATTTTATTTTTGTCAGTCTTTCCAATTTTTCATTGAACATAATTTGAACACTTCGGCGCAGTACTTAAGGTTCTCTTTCTCAAAGTCTGTCAGTCCATCTTGAATGACGAAATTTCCACACAGTTTGATACCTCGGTCGATTAAGCTCTGTCCGATGTCTGTGATGTCATCACCGACGACCTTCATGTACGCGCCAAAGAGATTCATGTCCTCGAAGGCTGTCCTTTTTTGGCTTTGAAGAAGGATACTTTCGATGGCATCGCGTGCCTGCTGCATAGTGCCTGGTTGAAAAGGATCGAGGTTCTTCACAGCGCCCAGAGCTTGAGAGATGATGTCTTTATACTTTGCACATTGCACCTGCGGAGATGATCCAAACATGGTAGTTGCGTTCTGGTCGTTAGTGATTGATTCCGGCGTTGTCGGAAACTATACCCTCAAGTATTATTGCAATGGCATCATAAAAATATTTCAGCACAAAATATTCAGAGTAGGCCAGTGACTTCAAACCACGAAATTACTGCACATTATAATTGGTAAAAAGAACGCTCAATATGAGCATGCGCCCTCCACTTACACTCTAAAATAAGACGAACCATGCGATTCGGGGCTGCACGCAGAAGTGTTTTTCGAGGTGGGAGGAGGGGACCTATTCAAAATTTGAAGCGGGGGCCGCACAGGTAAATAATCATCTTGCGCTTGTGTATGGAGAAATATATTGGGCGGGAGTGGGGGGGCAAAAGACTGGAATGACACCCTCTGATTGCACCCCTGAATTGCAAATGTTTGTAACCAGCGAACATGGAACATTGTTAAAATATATATAGTTTAAGTGATGTTGCTCGTTGTCTTATTATGCGGCACAAGTTAATAACTCAGTAATACTTTATTTAGTTGTACTTCGTACGTATTTCTGACAGTTTCACCACAAACACACAAGGCATTTAATATCAAAACACATGACACAAAGAGGCGCTCACTATAACAAACGTTATTCCTTCATGCTTTATTGAATATATACGCCTATGGAAGCCTTACGTCACATGCACACACAACAGTAGTTCTAAAGAAAGCCAAACAATGCTGAAGTCTGTGTACTAAAAGCGCAAACACAAAAGTTCGTATTTAGATGAATGCATATACAAAGATGCATTGCTGATACAAAGCTGAGCTCCGCTTCGCCTACTCACTTTCTCTTTTGCCTACGATCGAGGTACCTTCAAATTGTGCTTCACAATTTTCGGATGAATTATATGATTTACAAGATGAGCTCTTTTACAAGCGCTCTACAATATGGTCCCACTAATATTTGGTGCGGCTTCTAACAACTATCTAGGTGGTCCCAGGAGAACCAAATTACTGGCATTACTGCGGCAGCCACGCTGTTGACAAACTCCCTCTACCTATTGCTTAGAAACGAAAGCCAACGATGATTTTTAGCTCCGATTAAGTGCAAATGGAGAAGTTGTAACTGAATAACCTGTCTTGATTATTAAGCCTTTTTATTCTATGCAGAGTGGTGAGCTGTTTTGAGGCTTTATCTCTAAACTAAATGCCAATTTCAAGATTCGCGGACATTAGCATGACTAAGACGATGTCACTACTTTTGTCACCACCATGTGCATTTTTCCTCCACTTGTCTCACTTTTCATGCTCAGGGATCGTTGCGCATAACAAAATATCTGGGTGATCACAAGTTTGAAATATTAGTTTTGTATTTTGTACAAAACTGCTTTTTTTAATACCACTGATCCACGCTACATTTTCTGAGGGAATGCAAAATTGTAAAGCTATTCTTCCATGTGATTCAAGCTATACTACCACACGAAGGTTCCTCTGTGTAGTGCTATTTTTTGGTACACACCGTTTGATCTCGGTTGCTCTATCCTAAATTCATCCTGACCATATCGTTGCATGCATTACGCGGAGGATATCACCGACCTGACCATAAGTGCTTTATGAAAAACAGAAAAGAACGAGGCAGGACATTGGGAACTGTAAGTATAACTTTGCATTAACACATTCCTTAGATGAGTGGGGTAGTTTCAATGTCTTGCAATGAACAGAAAAGAAAGCCCCCCCCCCCCCTTAAATTGTAAACCTTTAGGAGCACATATCATTTAGCCGTCAGGTTTCTTCGACCTGCCTTGCAATATTGGAACATTCAACTTAGTATTGCTGCCGCATGCGGTATTCTATGCACGATGATAAAGTCGGCAGGAATTCTCAACCGTTTTTTGGCAACTCTTGTCTGATTTCCGCTGCTATTTTTTTGCAGGTTCAGATTAAAATGCAAAGCCTACTTCGTAAGCTCTTGCAATTTCAATGATCTTTTTAAGGTGATAAAGAGTGCGTGTGAAAATATTTGAGGTCAGCGCTGCATATATCAATCTGGTTGTGGCACTTTGATGCGAGCCATTCGCAAGCGGGACGTCTAGAGCCAAATAAAGACAGGTAAATAAACATTATGTATAACAAGTAGCGGCACAGAAACCTCACCGGACACTGCATCGAGAATTCGATGTTTACTTCTAGCTGAAACACCCAAATTCAATTAGAAGCCAGCCCCTGCAAAGGGACTTTGCATGATATCCATGCTTTAATTGCGACCAGAACCTCACCTCGTCGTCAACGTTCGACTGGCTTCGAAGGACTGTCATCATTCTTCGGCTGAATTCCTTCAGGACTTGACCAAGCTTTTGCGCTTCCTCACCCATATTGAAATTTAGGTCAGTGAAGTTTGCCATAGGCGTTTGCCCGTAAGCATGTCCTGTGTTAATGAAAATAGGAAGGTTATTTCTACAGATATAACATTTTACGATTTAACCTATCTTTGCATGAATCATGATATATTTGAACACAACACTTGTTTCAAAGTTTGGGTGCTGTAGGTCACCGATAAAAGCAAACATTGAACACTTCAGACAGGAGATATCCGGCAACAACAAAAAGCTCTCATACTTAGCCTTGCATTATAATGCGGCAGAGAGTTCTAACTCACCTAATGTGAGGACGAGCATCGTGCTCCAAAGGTACTGACTATTCATCGCACCTAAATGATGGAAAAAATAGAGTAGAGGATGTGTGTTAGTATCGAGATGTGTGCTGGTATTCGGATGCGGCGCGTCCAGATGCGGTTACATAGCTCCGAAATGGCAAACCTGTCGTAGCCACAGTGTCACTTACAGAGAAAAAACTGTGCGCAAAATATCTTCAAAATGAAATCGTTTAGCAGACTCACAGATGTTCATTTCTCAGCACCCTCAGTAATGGAGTACTGCTACTGATTACTACAACTTGTCATTCATGTGCGCTACTAGACTACTAAGTAGGTCGTGCGTTTGAGCGGTTTGCGGCACACTTTCAAATAGGCGCAGGAGAAAGGGTAGCTAAATTTCTCACAGGAGAAAGGGCAGCTAATTTTTGCCCAATTTATGTATGAATATTTTTAAGTTGCCTTTGCCCAATTCACTTCGTGCCCATACATCATAGAAGATAGGTTTACGGATTCATCTCGTTAGATGTCAACAAGAAACAAGAAGCTTTTAGAACAATTGCTTTTTTTGCTTGAATGCATACTTACTGTTTGCTCTAAGAAAATCCTGTATCATTTCTTATTTTTCTCCTCCAAATGCACTTTTATAATGTATAAGTGAGTTCTCGTCACTGTTCCCGGTTCTTTCTGCACATATAAACGCTATCTCTGCTCGAGTCCGCCAGAGTGTACTATCGGATGAGGTGAAACAGCTGACTGTATATAACATGCGTTCCCCTTTGAACTACATGGTAACAGAAATGCCTAACTGTTCACATGAAATATTACGTACATGCATACAGTTTTGCGCTGTCGAGGAGTCTCCACTGTTATTGCACAACTGCAATACAGATTCAATGAAATACTTGCATAAGAAATTAATTTACGGTACCTCTACAAATGCCAGGAACTGCACTATGGCTGTCGCTTTGAGTAATAGAACCACTTTCAGGAAGTGCTCGAACTTCAGCCAGCTGGGGCGCAAAGAATAGCTCGGTGGAAGAGCTTTTATAGCACATACGTTTTATCTATGAACTGATAGCTGCGCAACGTATAAGATGCACGGTAGCTTCTCGCGCCAGTATGTGAAAATTCACAGTAGGTCATAGAGGTAAGGGAACTTTGTGATATGGCGTGTATTGATGTGAGCGCAAGGGATGAAGCAGGTGCACCAACACTCACTGAATAAGCAAACAAGGGCCTTGTATATGAGTTGACAACCTTTATCTAGTTCGTGGCGCCCTGAACAAACACCGCTTCCAGCATACCGACCGATGAGTACGAAATGGCGTAACACATACACTTCTGCATGTACGCAAGCATGAGCGTTAGGAGACCATATATTGCGTTTGGAAGGATGGGGTGTTTAGTTGAATGAGGCTCCAGGAATGTCCCGAGATACACTGTTTCGAGAACATCAAGCCAGGCTGATCTCCAATATTTCCAGTGATGTTGAACGAAAAAAAATCAAGCGCATCATAAGGACAGAAACACATAAGAGATGTGGCAATATAGGTAGACAAAAGCAATGTTTCCTTCTGTTTGTTCACTATTAATGTTTAAATAAAGATTTTTAACATGCCATGGTTCACATGCCCTCATTATGATTTTGTTTCCCATATAGTTTCCGATATTTCTCTTAGTATGTACAATTTAGGATTTCGTTGAAGGCTTGTCAACGTAAGTACGTTTGCAGTATGGTTTAATGAGCTGCGGAAGCTTTACAACGTAACCTTTTCTTAATGCATATCAATGCATTTCTCCGCATAAGCAAAAAAATTGAAGCAGCTTTATTTAATCAACGAGGTGATGGCTGGTTCAGAACAGAGCTGGTTACATCACACTGATAGGCATTTTCTAGTTTGGTGCAAACAAGGCCATTCATAATTTCATCCTTCACTCTCGACCAAATGTTTTACACGAAGTCGGTCCTCCTTTCTCTTTTCCTCTCCTTCTTCAATCCTTTCTTTAAAATCGAGTCTGATGGAATCCCGTCTGGTCGGGGACAAACATGGTGCCAAATATTAAACACGCTGAGCAGCGGGGGAACAAGGCTGCTGTACGGGGAGCCGAAACGTCTTTTTAGTTTTTCTGTATTTTACTTTGGTCAGCGTTTTTAGTATTTGACACTATCTTTTTTTGTTTTGTTTCCATCCCTTCTCTCTTTCTTCCTTTTCTACGATTTTTCCTTCTTCCTTCTGTTTGTTTCCCTCTCTACTAATTTATTTCTCTCATTCTTTCTTTAGCCATGGCACATATGCTTGTGTCCGCAGACCTAGTTTTTATAGGGACCAGTGGTGAGCAGTGGAGCTTGACCCATTGCTGTAGCGCAAACCTGTGAGCTAGCGTGAACGCTTCCCAGAAAATAACCTCGGCCCTTAACAACACTTCTCTTAAAATAACGTCTTGTTTCATACATTCGCTTAAGACTACTGGAAGCCTAAATGCGTTTTTCGTCTTATTTTGTCCTGATGGCAAGTATGTGGACACTCTACGCACATTTTTGCCGTTGGTGCCACCAACATGTTTTATATAGTGTCCAAGTGATAAGATTCCCCAGTGCATTGACGTTCTCGTGTGTGTGAAAGAGTGGGAGTATCGTCAGTGGGTGCAGCTGAACCACAGGTTAAGAACGCCGGCCGACATTGCCGCGCAGCAGCACATGAAAGGGGGCGAAATCGTGTTCCTCACCCAGGTAGCAACTTTCATGGAAGTACCGCTGTGGCATGCACGTCCCCTCAATAGAGTCATTTCCTCATGTGCTCATACCGCATGCTAAGCCTTCAAGCAATAGACCGCACGAAGGGAGCTATGCTCGCTGCAGCGGCCATGTTTCTTTTGACAAGGTCACTACGAAATGAGCAGATGACCTTGCTTTGTGCAGCATTCGAATTGGTTTCTATTGTACTACTTTTAATGCGTCGCGTTTTCAGAGCAGCAAACAATTTTTCAATCTTTTTTGAATATTTTTATCACTAAATGTGTTGCACCTAACATGGTGTTTCACTGCCTCCTACTTCAAAAAAAGACGCCACACGATGGCGTCTATAGTGATATTATAATATGCTAACAACATCAGGCAAGCCGTCCCGTTTAGGTACCTTCACTTGTGACGTCGTGAGGTGACGTCTTCTGGCGTTTTGAGAAGGTCATGTGGGTTTGAGATCAAGTATTTTGGTATGTCTCGCCCAATCTCATGCCTGGGAGCACCAACTTGAGGCCTTCACGCAAATACATGTTCTTGCCTTTAGGAAAATATTCTTCGGAGAAAGTCGCATCTTTTGACAAGCTCTGCAACTGAAGAAGATTAGTGTGTTAGCTCAGTAAATTGGGTCGCTATGTAGTTACCTGAGAAACTGCATTTCTTTGTATTTTTTGCCACTGCACCTATTTGGGGGTCTTAGGTTTGCTGCGAAGTACTGTGCAAGTGGGTACACTCCCTGGCTTATTCACTACCGGGTGCCTTCCACGTCCAACCTAACACTTGCCACGATTTCTGCATTCGAATTGGGGGAAACTTCTTTAAGAATGTGCTCAAATGAAACACATACCCTCATATGAAATACAACATTACGTTAGCATGCCTGGACTTTATATGTGTATCTTCTCCTCACTTCATGTCAGAATTTTCAGCTAGCATACTTATAAATAAATTGAATCCTCCTACACCTCACAAACTACCACCTCCCTAAAAATTGTGGTGGTACATTAGGTTTCACATCACTAGTAATCAAGAAATCCGGCTTTTCTGTTAGTCCTCTCCACGGTGTCAGAACCAGGCTTCTGACTGACGTCCCTCTTTATGATATAGTGCTTTTGAGATGTTATACTCAGATATTGTTCACATCTTATCATTTCTGGCCTACCGCTAATACTAAGAACATAGGACATAGCTCGGCACTTGTTGCAGTGTAGTATACATATACTTTTCCAACGCCGCGCTGGTCAAACTTATGTTCATGTTACTTTTTTACGGTCGAAGCCCCTTATAGCGGCACCCGTTCGTCCCTCGTAGCCGTTGTTGATGTAACAAGTATATAATTTTGACATTCAAGGTGGTACCAGTAAGAGATTTCTTCTGTGCGTTGTTGAACAATAAAACTTAGTGCTTAATGTACATGCCAAAGGCTGTTAATGGGAAAGGAGAGAAAGAAGCATTCGGCTTTTAGTTAACGCGCACGCTGCGATCCCCATTAGCAGCCATTGGCATGTACATTGAGCACTATCTGACAAGCAAGGGTTGCTACGTTATACTCGCTGGGTGTAACCTCCATGGTTTTAGAAAGGTTTAGCGAGCGTTGGGCCGCAGTGCCATAAATACAGTGAACTAGTATATACCATGAAGTCGATGTGGTTAAAGGTAGGAAGTAGACCCGAAGCGCAAGTCGTAAAAAAGTGTGCGTGTGCCACTCCTCGTTTAGTCCGTGGAATGTCCGCTGGATTGCGGCGCCTCTATATGGGGAATATATTATAAAAAGATGCGAGATGGTGGTACTTGGAGTGTTGAATAGATGGACGAACGAACACAGACAGATGCATGGATGGACGCATGATTGGACGCCGGGGCGGATGCATGGACGAACGCAGGGACGGACGCACGAACAGACGCACGCAAGGACGGACGGATGTACGCATGGACAGTCACACAGACGAACGCATGGGTGGACGGAAGCAAGAACGAACGGACGTATGAATGCTTCGCCCCACTCTCCATCATACACTCCGTGGATATGCTGCCATTTTTTTTATCAGAGTTTTCTTGTGATGGGTGGAGTCTGTGGTTTTCTACCACAGCCTAGATTACACAGCCACATGTTTTCTATGACAAGTACTTTAAATAGTGCTCTCATCAACGAAAAACTCCCTTCCTATTTACCTATAAAACATATATAGCCATAAATGTAAGCGAAATTAATGGTTTTTCTTAAATACCTAAACCATAGAAGCACGGACATTTTGTTGTTAAGTAAAATAGCGGTGTATTCCAAATAACTTATTTTTTCAATTTTATTCTCAAGTGCAGATTTTGTCTAGCCTTGCCCATGCATTGAAAAATGGGTAATAACGTCGTCAAAGTACGGCGCCAACTCTGTGAACGTGTACATTTGTTGTTCTCAGAAATAACAAGATAATGTGGCGTGAAGTGCTTTCTTATCATCTTTGCGCACGTTAGAAAAATTACAGAGAAATATAGGGTACAGTACTCAGATAATGCCCTTGTGTCGGTTCGGACGCCCAATTAAAGCCGCGAGAGCTGCTCATGTACAAACTATATCTCAAGAAACAAGTCTGTGCTCGGTGTGTCTCCGCTATGCGCGTCCTTGTTTCATGTGCTGTAGAACGTTCACATTCTTCTCTAACATTTCGCCCAAGGCTCAACCTTGGAAAAGAAATCACCGCCATTCACACAAAGCGAACGAAGTTAGGGTAGCTTGCTCAAAGGTGCATGGGGCGCTTCTTGAAGGGCCGATTTCTGTCAGAAGGCTTGCTAAGAAGCCGGTGCGTGATGAGGACGTCCAAGGCAGTGTCCTGGCCGGCACTGCACACCTTTGTCCATCTCGATCAGCACGTTAAGCACCTGCCCCTTTAATCACATTCACATTTCGAGAGGTGATGCGAAAACCAAAACACCAGAGCTGCCGGAAGACCATGACCGCGTGCAACAAATTTGTTCTCATTCGTTCTGAGCCATCCCGTCACCGCTGGCGTTGCTGCGTTGACAATTAATTCAACTGTGCCTGCTTTGCCCCGCCGCGGTGGTCTAGTGGCTAAGGTACTCGGCTGCAGACCCGCAGGTCGCGGGTTCGAATTCTGGCTGCGGCGGCTGCATTTCTGACGGAGGTGGAAATGTTGTAGGCCCGTGTGCTCAGATTTGGGTGCACGCTAAAGAACCCCAGGTGGTCGAAATTTCCGGAGCCCTCCATTACGGCGTCTCTCATATTCATGTGGTGGTTTTGGGACGTTAAACCTCACATATCAATCAAATCAACTTTGCCTGCTTTCTGAGTACTAAAATTTATACCGAATCCTCACTACACGCAAAGTTGGGAAATAAAACATCTCGCAATTTTTTTTCATTTTTTTTTTTTTGCTTTTTGAGATAAGCCAGCACAAACGACACGAACGAAGGCACCGGCAGAGGCGGTGATGAAACGCGAGGCACATTGGGGCCAGCCGCCTCACCGCTGCTGCACCGTTCAATTTCAGAGTTCTCGGTGATCATAAGGAAAACCAAGCTCTCAATGAACGTGTCCTTTTTGAGAGCTTTAAGCTTCGTCGTGCTTCAAGGCTAGTTTGCAATTTGAGCCGACGCGAGCCATTGCCGACGCCTTTGCCTCCATGTTGAATCTACGGGCGGCTCACGTGGTTTGATCTAGCGCAGCCACTTCCGTAAAAGGGAAACAGAATCTGCATTTGCGTGACAAGAAAATTGGTCTTACACTAATTTTTGCATGACAGCCGCATGGCGTGGTTTTACGGGCGATTTAGTGACGAAACGCGCCCTTTTGCTTTATTGGCCGCTTCCCTGTGTCAAATGCCTAACCGTCATTATTGTCAGATGGGGAGATATTAGGCTTTCTTTAATGGGCTTTGAACAGAAAGGTGAGGGGGCTTGGGAAGGTTTCGGTACCCGTTCGTGGTACTCATCCTAAGAACTTGTAACGTGCTGCCGTGCCCACGAAGCGACGAGAATGAGGTGGGCGTAGCCGTGAGGAGGCGAGCACCAGGGCCAACGAAAATCGACGCCTTGTAGGGTACCTCGATCTGCACGAGCCTCCGCTTCCGGTGTAGAGGCATCTTTTGAAAGTCTCCGCGCCGCCTGGCGGAATTATTGGTTCTAAATTGCCGGGTGGGGAGTAGAGGTAAGCGCGGGAACGGTGCTGTGAACTCGTTCTTGACGAATTGAGATCCCTTCTTTGGCCACCATGACAAGCAGCGGTGGGCCACTGGGTACTAGTTCACACGCGAAAGGCCAGCAGATGTTTTGCTTCCCACGTAACCGCTAGGAAAAAATATGGAAGCACAAGTGGAACGCGACCACTCACATTCGACCAACAGCAACAACATGTGCATGGTAAGTTGTTCATTTGTCCAGCATGCGGCCGTGCATTTTTTAATCGCTGACAGTGAGCATCCTGTCAGAGCATTCCTTGCTTATCTCGCTATAGCTGCCTCGCATAATCACCGCGTGAAGCTGCATTTATAAAAAGGTTGTTAAGTTGTCTGTTAAGCCATATGGGGTGAACAGATGCTTCGCCTACATTCCTGATAAGAATAGACAAGCTTGGTCATTATAAGTTAAATACAGACCATGCTATATTGAAAAGAATCAATAGTGTTCTATACAAATCAATACTAATTTATGCTCATAATACCAATGAAGCTATTGGATTAATCTAGAGTATGCTTAGAAAGAGCCTAGTCAAGCGGGTATATGTCATCCTAAGTTTGTTTGCACAGGCAATATACGATAGTCGACACCAATCTCGACTGATAGATACCTACAAAGTGAAATTAGGCAAGATTAGTGGATTTGCGCCAGATCCTGCTCGTGCGGTCTAAGATGAAATAACATAGCCAGAGGCATATTAAACCGGACTACGCTATGTTCTTTCAGATTAAGCATAACCAAAGAAATCCCGGTTGATCTAATCCTGAACAAGTCAATGTTTGCTGAATTGAAAATGACTAGCCGTTTGGGTAACCGTGCATGGTCACACTAAGCCAATCTGAATAAATTCAAATAATCTGCATTAACTTATTATGAAGCTTGATTCTTCCAATTGAGAGTAAGCTGAGAGTGCTTAGGCAGTTGGATGACATAGTATGGCCGCAATAAGTTTATGTTTGTTAAGCCGAGTTGGGCTAAACCACACTAAGCTAATCGAGAGCAAGCGAATTTGGAGTGAATAGAGGCTGTCTAGCCTGTTGTATGCCTGAGCAATGCCACGTTAAGCCAAACAAGGTTTGAGCGTATTAGGGTAATCTGAAATAGGTTAATTATAGGGAAATTGATTTCGAGGAAGTTGAGGTCACCTAGCCAGTTTGATGACGTGGTGTGACCACAGTGATATATTGTGAATTATGCTGGAACAAGTAATCACGAGCAAGTGAGTTTGAAGTTAAGATGTTCCAGACTGTTGGATTCCGGAGCCGGGTCACGTTAGGCTCATTGGGACTAGACCCGATTAGACTTATTTGAATTAAGATATGCTATTTCAATGTATTATTACTAGTCATTTATGTTAGTCGTACTCTCCAACAGTGTCATATCAACATTGGTCGTCAACACAATAAAAGCCCCCTGACTTGGTCATGTGTCATGGCACACATGACACGAATGCGTGTACTGCTTGCTGAACGCCCAGTGGGGTCTTATGCTTTAATAGCTCCTGAAGCGACAATTTCGTGGTTATTTTCCTGGGCCGGCACGGGACGCCAGCGTGTGGCACGAGGCGCGTGCTTGCACAGGGAGTGTGAGGATGGCGCAGCCGACGCCGAAGCGCGGCATCTTGCGACTAAAAAATTCTCCTCATTTAAGTTATTTCTTATTCTTCCTGTCGAGAGGCAATGCATGAGGGGTGCTCTCACCGATGACCGTAAAGCACACGCGAAGGCTAGGCTATGGATCAGAGCAGGAAAGGCTTAGATGAGAGGCTGGAGAACGGATGAATCGGCACATATGGCAGAAAATAATAAAGCAGTGTAGGCGCTGATAAAAAGAAAACGGAATGCCGTCTTTTTTGTCGCTTGTTCACATTTCACAAGATTCAAGTTCAAGCAAGTGAAAGTAGGTTAGCACGTTTTTAAGGAGTTGCGACTCTTCCATTCAATTGATGGAGGGGTGATTGTGGAGTTTTGGTGCATGATGATGCAAGTTTTCCATGTCGGAGGCCACTCCAGACAATTCATTCTTTGCGTGCAGTGACAGTAGTTTCTTGCATAAAGTCTACTTACGCATGACTTTGGCGTTTTCACGCAGAATATTCCTTTACCTAGCCAAACGCAACTCATGCCCATCAGGGACGTAACCACCTGTTATCAATACTGCCAGCACACAAGCCTAATGCGTATTCGAAAGAAATCTCATAGATCAAATCTGACCATTTCATGGAAAACCGAATAAATTTTATTCAAATTCGGACAGCTTAGTAAATCTTGCGAAGAGATTTTACATGGAGCCGTGCTTCACTATGATGTCGATGATATTCTGTATGAGTGCTTCAGCTGATTCGTTCAAGTCATGCTTGGGCAGGGGAGCGACTGTGCCATTTCCTCCAATCCCAGCCAGCCTGGTGGCGACGTCTTCCAATGAGTCACCTGTAGAGCCAACAATATCGCCAACTTGCTCGACAGCCTCGAATATGGAGGATGCTGTGGCCCTCGTTGCGTAAGCGCTGATGATCTTGGCGGTGATTTGGGCAAGCCGAATTTCAGCCGTGCTGTTACCAAGCTGTGCGATGTCGGACACCCAGAAATACGCCTTCTGTTTCTTGAACCTGAACATCTTTTCTCCGAACACGGTGATCTAGATATCATAGAAAAATGAATCTTTTCAGTGGACGACGCATGCAAAGTAGTTCCAATGGTCATTTCCCCGCAAGCAACTTGTTCAATTTTTCTCGGAATGCATTTTTCAAGAATGAATGTTGTAGTTTCTAACTAGTGTTTCCTAGGTATTTGTAACGCACGTTGCAACCTGTTAGTAAGGGCAGTTATTACAGGTAGTAATAGTTACTGACTGCTCAAGATACCAATGGCTATGCATAGCGTAAACGCATTCAATTCGAAATTTTATAAGCGCTGCCAACGTTACACAATTATGTGCACTTCATTAAAAATCTGTCCTCCTAAAAAAGGCGGTTCGTTTGGATAGTCGCTTTTAACCTACACACAATACCGACCAGGATCACCAAGACTCCAGTTGGTAAAAAAGTGGCGTGCAGAGCATTCAACAACTCAGTGCAACTTCTTACAGCCTGTAGTGAAAGAACCGCCTTTAGTGACACGGATTTCAAATTAGTCAAACATTTGTCCTGAGTGCCGCTTAATACAAAATAGACCTTTTTGTACGTGTGTGTATTTCAATACGAACAAAGTTGCGGTTCGAAGCGTGTAAGAAGAATGTATTCAGTAATGTGCACAATAAGATGGCATGTAACTGTTAATAAAACGTCATAGACAAGTATCACTTCACTGTTTTGCAAAAGATCCATTCCTTCATTGCAGTAGACATTGTGCAAGATGAATAAATACTTGGTACTAACTTTGCACAATTTTACCTGCGATGGACTAGCGTTATTTCAGAGCTAGGTAAATATTTGTAACTACTTGTGAGACGCAGTCACGCCGCCCGCTGCTAACTTGCTGCTTGAAGTTACAAGAACTAATTATAAGCGAACGCTGTCACTTCAAAGGCTGTTTGTCTCATTTATACCTAACAGGTAGTCTTTGCTAAAGGTCATTACTGCATCGAGAAACATAACAATACGGATTGCAAGAATGACTAAGTTGTAAAAGCTTGTTGTGAGAAATACTTTTTTTCAACCCTTAGTGACTGCTTGGCATGCCTCACAAGAAAATTATTCCTGTGAAATAATAATGGGAGGAACACAGACCCTCGTCGGCCGAGTCACTGGCGTAAGATGCATGGGTCACGTGCTTTACACCTCAGGGGTACACAAATGTGCGAATGCATAAAACTGTCAAATTTCTAAAAAGACCAAATACGCGTTTAGAAGATTGAGAACTATATACGTAGTCTCATTAAAGTCGTAATTTTTACTGTGCGCACGCTTGCTTTCCCAAGCAAAACTGGGAAAAAAACGAAATAATTTTGCTGCTTCCTCATGTGCCGTGTTCTTAAGTGCGTCAATCTTTGAAGACTGCATTTGAATTTATGCGTTAGTATAATGAAATGAAATGAAATGCTTGGTTGTTGTCTTTAGGAAGGACAGTTCGGGATGGTAGCATCAAAGTTGTCTTAAAACAAGTTTACAAGCCTACAACTTTTTGATAATATTTGACAGTGAGGACACAATAGACATGGATATTTATTTAAATAGTAAACATTTATGATTGTATACATATGCAGTTTTTCCACATTATGTGCGGAGAAAGCGAAAAAAAATGTTGTTTGTGTCCGATCATGCGAAAATCCGTGCGAGTTATTGCTAAACATATAGTCTATTTGTATATGCATATGACGAAGGGAATGTAAATGTTGGGAATGCGCATAGATACTGCGCTATCAGGCGAAGTTATTTAGCTTATTAGAGGTCACTAGGTGAGGTTAAAGTTTGATTACCGAAAATAATTGGCGTTTAGCAGTCTTAAGGATAGGACATACGTGTTATCTTCTGCGGAGTAAAGAAGAGCAGAGCAGCCTACCACATCCACACGTTCAGACAGTATAGAATGCAAATTAAAGGGGAGAGTAGTAAAGCTGCGTGCAGTTAGATGAAAACGCACCACTACTTTACCTAATGAAAATTTACTGTGAACAAATATGCTATAATTGACATCTTGATGTAGGTAAAAATAATTAGTTAATATATAGGTGTCCTTAAGCGCTGTAATAAATTTTACTCGAAAGTCTACTGCACACTTGATGTTGGTTAAGCATAAAAAGAAGTTCAGTAAACTGCGACTCTAATGAACCAACCGGGAATGATCGGGATTGCATATCCTATACGAACCGGATCATTGAATGTATAGATGAAAGTGCGTTTAGGGTTGGAATCAGGTACAAGGAAATAAAAGTGAGAGGATCGGTGTGATGCCGACGCACTTGTCGCACATTTACCACCCAGTTTCCACTGGTTTTTTTTATTATTCATTGTTTTGCGGATGTTTTAGAGGAATGTCCGTGTTATTAGGGCGCTTCAGTGTTAGCTTTGGTAGTGCGTTGCATATGAGAGCCGCTACAGGCAGAATGCGGCAACACAAATGCTTTTCTTACACATGGCTACACACTCTGAAGCGTGAATTCAGTCTTACCGTTATTTAAAGATTCATCAGCAGTTCAGTTCTCATGTTCGTTTTCTATAATTTTCTTACTAAACAATATCCCCTAAACACCGTTTCACAGCACACGATGTATATTCGCATGCAATTATCTTAACCTGCTACGTCTCTGCAGTTTGCAATGCATATTTCAATGTCGTATCTTTCGAAATGTCATGTGACTGATTTGACGGACGTTACCTGACACTTTGACACTTGTTAGTCGCAGCGATGACTGTGGTCATCACTGGCGGAACATTGGTTATTATTTTTCAGATTTTTATAGAAAACTACAGTGTTAGGTAAAGGTGTAAAGCAAGGAAACGTTGAGAGGCCGCTCACTTATAGCATGGGCTTAGAGTGAGTACTGCGCTGGTTATAATACAGTATCGCGTGTAACTTATAAATATTATTTTGGCTGAGCAGCCAATTAGTAAAAAATGTGCTCTTCACAAACCATGAGGCCTTCGAGGTCTAGCAGACGACGGCCTCCAATTTTCAGAGCGGCTCCCATTCTGGCAAGCAGGTAGCCCATGTCATTGAGTTTTGACGCAGCCTCCCTGAGTATGGCGTCCGTCTGGTCGTGAACGCTGGTGCTGCCACGCATCGAGTCACTTGCGTTCATCATCACGTCACTCACCAGGCGAGTGAGCAGAGCTGATGCGACGTCGCTGGTTGTTTTCGGAGGCATTGCTTTAGCTCGTAAGATAAAATCGGAAAGAAGGCTAGAAATCACGCACTCATGCCAGGGTAACGAAATAGTAAGAGTAAAATAAACGAAATAATTTCATCACGTTTAGCTACGAAGCTATAAATCGCCTGAAAACTGAATTGGACGTTCATGATTATGCAATTCAAGCATGTTATATTTCGTGCATTTTGAGCTCTCTTTCGTTTTTTTTTTTCTAACGTAATACAATTACGCTACCCATCTAAGGTGGTTATCGAGTATATTTCTTCATTGTATCATTTTAAGCTAATGCGTGAAGCTACCATAGAGCACATCCTGCTCTATTGAGCAGCGTCGACTTATGTATTTGAAACTTGCAACACAGAAAACGAGGACATAATGTGCACAACGCACTACACAGTGCTTTTTCATGACACCGTGTGTATTTTCAGGTGGTAAATCAGACTGCTAAAGAAATTGTTGAGGCTCATCACATTAACGAAAAATCAATCTATGTGCGAGCACGGGCTCAATAGCATAGCGTGGCAGTAGAAATTATTCTCATCTTTCGTAACATTACGTCGTAATAAAAAGTGTGCACGTAATTGCTGATTTTTTAGATTATTTCAGTATAGTTAGGAACATATGTTCCTTTACTTTTGGCTATCAATTATGTGCGAGCATGTGACATTCCATCATACTTATATTACTGCGCGTTCGTTACGACAAAGGTTTCTGTGAGAAAAAGACGCTGTGTGGGGTATACCGTACTGACTTCAAACATACAAAAATGATTTCACTTTGTCAATGTCAACACTTTTGTCGCATGGAACTCAAACGTTAGTCGGTCAAAACTAGTGCAATTGGCTGATTGTGTGAGTCTTTGGAGAGTTCAGCACATATGAAAAATAAATACAGTTAGTTTATTGCGCACTGAAAATGAAAACCTACCTTAGTAGTTAGCTATGCCCAAGAAGAATATGGCGTGCCGGTTAATTGCAACAACTTTTTCTTTGCATTGTTCTCTAAGTTTAGCGCTACCAAGGCTCCGGACTGGGCCAGCCAGCCTGTGCCATCATTCTCTTTCTCGGTTTTTCGTGTTTGGCGCTGGTTTTTGTCTAATTCTTAATTAACTAGAGCACACAATAGTTCATTCTATGACATTTGCATTACGCAACAACGTAATGTAAAGATATCTTATGTGCATAAAGTAATGGAGAAAAAGGTATCTAAACATATCTGTATTCGTGTTTTATTTCACAACTAACACATCACCAGATTTGTACCATCAGTAGATTCAAAACTGAGCGAGAACCACACATCTCATAGGAGAGATACGTAAAGGCTCTGTTTGATACGAAGACTATACGCTAACGAGTAAAGCCATACTAACAATAAAAGTACAATGCGTTGATTGCCTGAAAAGCATGAATGCAATCAATCAAACTCACCTTTCGCTGTACTACTATAGGTGCTGGAAGCATAAACAGAAACAAAATATAAAACAACATAAAACCACACTTTTAAAATGGGACCTGTCACGAATGTGTTTAGAGGAGCTTGTGTTTATCATCTAGAAGATAGATGAACGAGTGGATGAGTAGATATATAAGTAAAAAGTAATTATTCTTGGTCTAGATGTACAATACCATGCAAATACTTACGTCCCATCGCCACCTTGAAGAATTTGGCATCCGCCACATGCAAAGTTATTGAAAATATTATTTTAGTGAATACATTGAAGATCGAACGCACATATAAAAATCTATGTGTGAAGAGAGTATCTTTGTATATTTAAACAGTGCATAAGTCGTTATTGTTATCTTCAAGATTGTTAATATTGCTACCGTGCAAAGCCGGAACGTATTTCTTTGAAGATTCGTTGTTGGTGTTTGTTACATTTATATTATTTCTTGTCTCTTGGCATGGACGACGGGCTCATTTCACTGACAGCCAGGATACACAGATGTGCAAAATACCATAGCGTTCTCCATGGCTCCCCAATTCAGCTGTTCTTTCACAACCAACGAAGCCAGTACTCAGCTTTAGCTCACTTACACGCGCAGGTAAAAGCTCGAAACCAGGCATATCAATCATTTTATGAGCAGCGACTGCATAGGTCATAAGTGCTCATTTTTAACTTCAAATGAGAATGTGACGATATTATTTGCAGTATATATATTAATTTACGCAGACATTTGAACCAAACTATTGCAATCAGCTTACAGGACACACAGCGTGAACACTCACTTGAAAAGTGGGCCAGTGAAATCACGAGGACGACGTGCACCAACTTAAACTTCATGTTATTTCTTGCGTTGCACTTGCGCACTGTAAAGGTGTGCCTGATGGCCTGCATAAAATATTTTAAAGAATGACTTGTACTTTTTCGAACCGATAAAATAAAATAAAATCATCTGATTCGTCATTATGAGAAAGAATCAGGACTTATGTTTAAAAATGCTGTAAAATATTTACGCTACAAATTGTTTATTAACACATTGCCGTAAGATTTTGATTGGCGTGTATTGGTAGATGGGCAAAATGTACACAAAGTTATATAATCGCCATAATATCCTGTTTTGTACTTCTATATATCTATGTATGCATACTAGATGCAACAAACGTTGGTTTACCTAAGCATCAAAGTAATTTACAATAAAGAATATTGCTGCAAACACGTACCAACATCACACAAATCTTCTTTATTGCATAATTACAAAAGTAATCTTCGCTACAGAAAAAGCATTCATTATTTCAACTTTGCACAGATGTCGTTGTTGTTGAAGTAATGCGAAAATGAGGTGGTTAAAGTTGCACTCATCTTGTTGAAAGAAACGAGTCAAGCAAGGTATGCTGGGCAAAAAAGACCACATACTTTTCGCTAGTTGTCGGTAGAAGCTGAACAACTAGCTTATTAATCCATTCGATGTTAAAATCTTGTGAGAACGTAGTGAAACAGGTGTTTTGGGTGTTGCCGTTACAAGTTTTGGCTTCGGCGTCCTAATCAGTGTAAGATTAGAATCTCATTCATAGCAAAAGAATACACACCTAACTTTCCAAGGCAGACACGACAAAATTTTGTACAAGGGGCCTGGTGAGACATAAATATGACTCCACACTTTTAACGTAGTATTTGGTATGCCATGCCCCAAATACCTTATAAATGATCTAGGATTCTTGAAATCAGCCAGAACAATAAGTACTGAATAACTATCGAGTGCTCGTGTGCGTCCTTCTTTGTATCGCATTGCATGCAAACCCCAGTGTTATAGGATCACGAGCACTTGGTTCAAGAATGAATTATTATACCATGTTAACTCTTAGTTAACTTGTTGCAAGTCAGTTTTGCCAAGCTCCGAGAGGTGGTGGAAATGTTATGTAAAAGAAATCGACCACCACTCACTCGTAGCACATAACTACAAGAGAATCAGTACCAATTTTTTAGACGGAGAGCTTACCAAGACTATAAGAAATGCTTCTGCAACAAAGAAGGTATGTTTTTTTAGAAATGCATAAACATTTTTTTGCTACAAACGAGTAGTCACCAACAATTTTCCAATTACTAATTCTTGTAAACATGGTATGCACTTCTTGCCTACAAAATCTTAGGCACAACGTGCATGTGTGAGCACAACAAATTAGGATATGCCCTTCCTTACATAACAAGCCAGCTATTTGCCGACTGGTGTTGTTTGGGCACTCTTTTCAACCATTTGTACCTTTTTATAGCAGTCAATCAGGGTGATTCCGGTTGCACGAAATAACTACACACAATACTTAGGCTTAGATGTAAAAATTGACTCCTGGAATTCAGCGTAACCTGTTGTGGTCTTTATTCCAGCTTGAGCGTTTTAAAAGGGCAATAAACGTAAATATTAGGTCAATGTTGGTTTCTGAAATAGCAGTCCAGAAACCCTGTAGTGCTACTTTTGGGCCAAGAAAGTGCTTATTTTAAAGCAAAATCATGTTTTAGTGATCCGCATCGCGTTAACGCGCTTCGATTCAGACGCCTCAAGTGGCAACTATCAGGTCACTGTTTTCGTGCACAATGTTGCCCCTCTTTACTGTGCGGCCGATAACACTAGCTGCGGCAGAGCAAATGCAGCGTGAGCCATAACAGCGAAAACGACCATTGAACAATTTCATGTAATGGCCTTTGAGATCGCAGACGTGCTTGGTTCAACTGGGCCCCAATAGATGGGACGACCTTTCTAGTTAAAAAGGCGAAAATTGAAGTGAAGAAGCACTCGGGCCTTGCTCAATAGTAGTGTCCAGCATTTTTTTTTTTTTGGCGAAGGAAGCAGAAACGAACAAGCACCGTTTCATTGCGTCTCTTCATTCACAAGAAGTTCTTTATTTAGTGCAGCTAGTTAGATTACGAGTGATTAATTGTAGGCGGCAATTTAGACCTCATCGGGATCATTTTTGCGAATACCCTACTCGTGGCGCAAGGCTTCTCATGCATTTACATTAATTTACTCGTATGCACGGCACATTTGTATAATATTGTCTTTTTAAACGCTGTCAATAATTAACCGTTCACTCTGTCATGAACACTGATTTGACTTTAGTGTCCCCTAAATGCTTTTTTTACCATCACCATGTTTGAAATTGCGTTCACATTGTTCGTAACAACAAAGCATTTTCCCATAATGAGATTATTTCGTTATCATCAAACTTGACCTACTTAAGACAACACGGACACTGACTCCAGACAGACAGCTGATTATTCATAGTACAATGGTGATGTTAATAAACAATTAAAACCTCGAAGCAGAAAGACGGTTCTTTCCCTCAAGAAACAATGCTTGTGGCTGTCTTCTGTATTAATGTTTTTCAAACCATATGTGCCATCTTGTCTTTCTCTTCCCCTGTGCTATTGTGAAGTGGTCAGAGCGTCAAAGTTTTTCTAGAATATTCTCACAGGTTTCTGAACAAACATTCTTCCTTAAAAGGTATTCAACTAGGAAAACATAATAAACACAAACATGAAATGAATGAAAATGAGTCTAGACAAATAAATTCGAAAGTGCATCCAAATAGCTTACCTGGCACGAACACTCCGGTGACAAGAGTGTGCACATCAGCTTTGTTGCCACAGGGCAGTTACCACAGCGAAACACCTGCGTTATCTCGCCGTGGCCCGATTTGTCGAGGTCTCGTGCAGGAATCCTATCGACAGCTATGCCGAGTGATAAGACTCATTATTAAATCTAGACAGGCAGTTATCTTTATTGGCAATATTGCTTTATCTGAAGTACTTTCAGGTGTTCGCATTCATCATTATATCTCTTCCTGGCATAGGTGGCCGGAGCCATCGGGCACATTAGTCTCTTCTATAGCCATTTCACTTCTGAAACGTTCATCTAGTGCTGTAAAGAACCTCAAAAAATCAATGCGGCATGTGCATGGTATACTATTTATAATAATGAGCGTTATCTAGGTTGTAAGAAGCATGCTATGGCTAACTGGTAATGATAACAGTTGATAGTCAAGCTATATATATATAAATATAAATAAATAAATAAATATATATATATATATATATATATATATATATATATGGATGGAGGGAAGGCCGCTGTGGTAGCTCAGTGGTTGGAGCATCGAACGCGTTATTCGAAGGTCGTAGGTTCGATTCCTGCTCACGGCTGGTTATTTCTTTATCCACTTTTCTTTCTTCTTATTTACATTCCATTGGTTCTAATAACTTCCCCTGTACATTCCTTGGCATTACTGCCTGTTATATCTCATTATTATTGTCTTAAAACACGGAAAAACGAGCCCTCAGGTATACACTTCTTTTTCTTATTTTATATATATATATATATATATATATATATATATAGACGCAAAACAAACGCATTGTTAAAACTACTTGCGCTAGTTCGTGTGCCCCCCTAGAGACCAGCGGCCCGATGATGAGACAAGAAAAGGCCGTGACGCACGCGCCTCCTCAGCACGGGATGTTAACGAAAAAGAAGTGGTGCACCGCTCGAGGGCTTCTCGCAGATTGATTCCTTTTGTTGATCGCCTGTTAGAAGCACTGCAACATTTTCCTTTACTTTTAGGGCACAAGTTATCCCACATAAACAGTTATTTTTACACCGTTTGGATTGCGCGTAACAATTCTGGTGGAGGTGCTGACTAATGATTCCAAACCCAGTTGTACTTCGAGGAAGCAGCCCGGCAGCACGACCAGTCGAACGAACTGAGCTCACGCCAGTTCATCAGCGATCCAGCTGTCGTGTACGCGGTGAGCCGCCGGAATTTCCCCTGCCACCAGAGCCTTGAGTGTCTGCAGCTGTCTTTCAGTGAGATTACTGAAATGTCGTCTCCAACCGCCGCCGCACACGTCGTTTCGTCTCCAGTCACTGCCACGCACGTCGTTGTCGATAAGCCACGGACGCCCGACCTTTTTCATGGTGATCCTCATGAAGACGCCGAGGATTGGCTGGAGGGTTTTGAGTGCGTCGCCAAGTGCAACGGATGGACTGAAGAATGGAAGCTCCGCCGCATTAATTTTGCGTTGCAGGACAGCGCACGAACGTGGTTCGAAAACCATGAAGGTGCCATTCGGTCGTGGGATGACTTCTGACGGGAGCTACTGGCCACATACCCGAGCACAGACCACAAGGAAAGAGCTGAAGCTGCTTTGCAAGCAAGGAACCAGCGCAACAATGAAAGCGTCGCCATGTATGTGAAAGACATGTGCTGGTTATTTCACCGGTCTGATCTCAATATGAGCGAGGACAAGAAACTTCGGCACCTGTTGCGTAAAGTAAAGCAGGAGATTTTCACTTGTTTGCTCCGATGCCCCCCGTGGCACGTGGCCGAATTTCGCACCGAGGTGACAGCGGTTAAAAAGACTCTGCAACAGCGAGCGAGGCACTACAATGGAGATGTTAACGTCGCAGCTTTAGATGCGGTGTCGGCAGTCTTCGGGAATGGCATCGACGTATTACGAGAGCTCAAGCAACCGGTGGTTCGAGAAAAGCTCCAAAAGCTGAACGGCGACCCCTCAACGGTGTTGTCATTACCGGAAGTTGTTCGGGAGGAAGTGAGACAGGCAGTCCGTGAGCAGCAGCCACAAGCACAGCCGGTTCAAGCGTCGGTTCCGACGCAGCCCGCAGTCTCGTACGCCGAGGTGCTGAGAGGTGCCCCTGTACCTCCTTTCGTTGCCCCTGGACCTTATTTTGCCGTAGCAAGCACGCATCTGCTGGAATCTCGATTTACGCCGTCCCCAGCCGAGATGAGGATCCGAAAAGCTTATATAAGGCGCACCCCTGATCGAATTGCGCTTTTTTTATCACTGCGGCGAAGCTCGCCATCTTTGCCAAATGTGTCAATATTTCCGAGATAGACTTCGGAGTTTTCCCGTAAACGCTGCTTGTCCAAGGAATGGGGAATGACCTTTTGAAATCGAGCAGTACTTGTCAACGCTTCAAGGTACTCACTCCTCGCAGCAGCATCAGTCCCGGTCATCAGTGCTACCAAGGTGTCGGACACCAATTACGCGCCCATCTTCAAACTCTCCGAGGCGACATCCCCAAAGCTCGCTTCGGGAAACTAGAATCGGCGACCTGGAGAGGTAAGGCCGCTGCCGACGCAAGAAAACAACCTCCAGTGCCAATTTCAAAATGTGATGATGGACACGAGACTACGTGCGGAAACGGTAACGTCGCTTCTGATTTGTCGGTGCTTATAGACGGCGACGAAGCGAATGCTTTCGTAGACACAGGCGCAGACTATTCTGTCATGAGCAAGGCACTTGCCAGAACGCTGAAAAAAGTGCTGACCCCTTGGATAGGACCGCAAGTGCGAACCGCCGAGGGACATGTTATCGATCCGGCAGGCATGTGTACTTCTAGAAACGGAATACGCTGCTTCACCTGCGTCGCCAGCTTCATTGTCCTGTCGGAGTGTTCAAGAGATTCAATTTTCGGAATGGAATTTTCGCAGACCAATGGTGCAGTGATAAACTTGCAGAAAACTTGTGTCTCGTTCTCGACGAAACACGCCATCGCGACATTCCAGAGTGAAAAACGATTTGATGCGCTCCAGATTGCAGGTGATGATGTAAGCGTACCTCCAAGATCCATCATCGTTGTCACCGTAAAAAGCAATGTATACAACGACTATGAAGGAATGGCAAAAAGCACTACTGGGCTATTACTCGAGAAAGGGATCTGTGCAGCTAGAGGTTCTGTACGACTGCGTGATGGGTGCACGAGTGTCTTCCTGACAAATTTCCGAAATGAGGTGCAACATCTTGCGAGGGACTGTTGTTGGTCACTTGCACGATTACGTTCCAATTGTGGATTTGAATTCTTCCGAGACTGCACCACTACACCCTGACGATATAAATTCTATACTCGCATCTATCCACATCGAAGGAGCCCTATCGCCGAACCAGAAACAAAAAATCGAGAGCCTTATACGGGAGTACGCCTCGTATTTTTCCACGTCATCGAAAGTGCAAAGAACATCCATCACCGAACACCGCATCATAATTGATCAATCTGTTAGACCTATTTGCCAGCACTCGTACCAAGTGTCACCAAAAGAGAGAGAAGTCATCAGAGGCCTTGTTAAATAGATGCATAGAGACGACGTAATTCAACCATCGGTCAATCCATGGGCCTCATCTGTAGTGCTGGTAAAGCAAAAAGACCAGACCTTGCGCTTCTACATTGACTACCGAAAATTGAACCTCGTCACAAAGCGTGATGTCTATCCCCTTCCAAGGATTTATGACAACCTTGACAGACTACGAGAAGCGAAATTCTTTTCCTCTCTAGAACTCAAGAGCGGATACTGGCAGATAGAGGTGGACAAACCAGATCGCGAGAAAACTGCTTTCGTTACCCCAGATGGGTTATACGAGTTCAAGGTACTCCCATTTGGTCTGTGTTCCGCACCCGCCGCATTTCAGCGGATGATGGACACTGTGCTGTCCGGGTTAAAATGGCAGCCCTGCCTTGTTTATCTCGATGACGTCGTGACCTTTTCGGCCACCTTTGATCAGCCTGTGGAACGACTAAGGACTGTGCTCGAAGCGATTAGATCAGCAGGGCTGACGATAAAACCCCAAAAGTGCAATTTTAGTTTTCATCAACTGCTTTTCCACGGCCATGTGGTTAGCGTTGAAGGCATTCGGCCTGACCCCGAAAAGACAGAAGCTGTAGAACAGTTTCCTAGACCGACGAATAAAAGTGCTGTGAGACGATTCTTAGGACTTTGTGCCTATTACAGAAGATTCATCAAAGATTTTTCGAATATTTTGGAAGCACTAACCTGACTGACAAAGAACACACGCCTTTCGCTTGGACAATCGAGCACAAAGGCGCATTCAATCAGCTACGACAGCGACTCCTAACCCACCCCGTCCTTGCACATTTCCACGAAGAAGCCGAAAGTGAAATTCACACGGATGCAAGCAATTTGGGACTAGACGCAGTCCTCGTGCAGCTGCAAAACGGAGAAGAACGAGCGGTCGCATATGCTAGTCGCACTCTTTCGAGAGCCTAAATAAATTATTCGGCGACATAAAAAGAAAGTCTGTCGGTAATATGGGCCACACATAAGTTCCGATTGTACTTATATGTAGACCATTTTGAGCAGTAAACGACCACCACTCGCTGTGCTGGCTCGAAGTTCTGAAGGATCCTATCTGGGCGACTGCCTAGATGGAGCCTCAGGTTGCAAGAATACGATATAACAGTCGTATACAAGTCGCGTCGCAAGCACATCAATGCTGATTGCCTGTCACGCGCACCAGTGGAATCTGCACCTGTGGAAAACGGAGACGACTTTCCGTTTCTTGGAGCCGTCAGCACCGCAGACATGGCTTAATATCAATGATCTGAGGCATAGTTGCTTTAACTGATCAAACATCTGGAAGGGCAACCTGTGCGTGTTCCTCGAGTTTTTGTCCGGAGATTGTCCTCGTACCTGATGAGAAACAACGTTTTATACAAGAGAAACTTCGAGCACAGCAGGGAGAAATTCCTACTCGTCGTCCCTTCGGCATTGCGACCCGAAATCCTGGAAGCCTTCCACGATAACCGAGAAGAAGGACACCTCGGAGTGAGTAGAAGATTGGCTCGAATCTGCACAAAGTACTACTGGCCAAAGTTACTGGATGCTGTACAGCATAATGTGAGGACATGTAGAGATTGCCAGAGACGCAAAATGCCTCCATTGAAACCTGCAGGATTTCTCCAACCAATAGAACCCCCTAAATCTCCGTTTGAACAAGTAGGAATGGATCTACTTGGTTCCTTTCCTACGTCATCAATGGGCAACCAATAGATAGTAGTGTCACAGACTACTTAACCCGGTATGCCGAGGCAGCCTCTCTCACCAAGGGCACGGCTATAGAAGTCGCTGAATTTTTCGTCGCTAACATTGTACAACCCCATGGAGCCCCGAAGGTGGTTATCACGGATCGAGGAACTGCATTCACAGCCAATCTGACGCAGTCCATTATGAAACTTACCCACAAAAGTCATAGGAAAACAACGGCTTACCACCCCCAAACTAATGGGCTAACCGAGTGACACAACAGAACTCTAACCGATATATTGTCGATTAACGTTGACTTGGAGCACTCCACGTGGGACTAGATACTGCCATACGCCCCTTTCGCTTATAATACTGCTGTGCAGGAGCCATTCCAGCCAGCCTATGGTCGAATAGTTACCACACTACTAGATGCAATGTTGTCTGTAAGCGACAATACAGAGCACAAGCCTGACATCAGCGAGTTCATTCAGCGAGCCCAACAAGCACGGCAGTTTGCACGACATCACATAAAACAACAACAACGCGTGGATGCAAACCGTTACAACCTTCGGCGGAGAGGAGTCGACGACGCACCAGGCGATCGAGTTTGGATTTGGACTCCCGTGCGGACGCCTGGCTTCTCCGGAAAGCATCTGTGCCGCTATTTCGGCCCTCACCGAGTCCTTCATCGCGTAAGCTCCTTGAACTACGAGGTGTCACCGCAAGGACAAGTGAGCTCATCAAGATGCCGAAGGAGCACAGAAATCGTGCATGTAGTCAGAATGAAGCCATACTATGACAGGCGATGAACATCGAACTATACACACCCGATAATGAGGAATATCTATGTCTCCAATGGAAACTACGCATTCAGACCATCTCAGCAACACTGCTTTTACGCATCGGTACGATGCGTTCTTGGAGGAGGGATAATGACGCAAGACAAACGCAGTATTCAATCTACGCGCGCTAGTTCGTGCGCCCCCCAAAAGACCAGCGGCCCGATGATGAGACAAGAAAAGGTCGTGACGGCACGCGCCTCCTCAGCTTGGGATTTTGACAAAAAAGAAGTGGTGCACCGCTCGAGGGCTTCTCGCAGATTGATTCCTTTTGCTGATCGCCTGTTAGAAACGCTGCTACATTTTCTTTTGCTTTTCGGGCACAAGTTTGCCCAAATAAACAGTTATTCTCACAACATTCGGATTGTGCGTAGCAATATAATTCAAAGAATGTCACACATTACCACCCAGCGAAAGCAACCATCACGAAAAGATGTCGGAATTCGACTATTGAACTGTGCTCTAGTGCGGAAACGACAATTATACTATGCTTAAAAAGTATGTCACACCACAACTCGACTACACCTTTAAGTGTTGACTCGTGGCTACTTCTATTCACATTTTTGTTTTCAATTTTCGTTGAAACGCTTTGAAAAAAGAAAGTAAGGTACCAAAAGAAATCTTTATGTGAGGTGTTTGATGCGAACGTGATAAAAAATTCCTGCGTACTCAACTTTTCTTGCCTTTTTCTTCATTTATTATCTCACAAACTTCAAGCTACCGTTCGGAAATTATATCACAGACTTTTCTTGTATCACGTAGATAAGTACGCATTTTTTTTCTAAAGAATGGCTTTATAAAGCAGGACCCATGGTTTTCAGGGCAAAGCGGTACTTCCATATGTCTTTTTTTTTGTGATAGGAATTACACGGGAGCCCTCTTTAAATATTTGCTCTCACCATCACCATCAAATACCGGATATGCGAATGCATGGAATGGAGTTGAAAACAATTTTATTGTGTCCTGCAGAACCCAACTGAACCGCGCACTCAGCTCGGTTCCACTTACTAACCCGAGGTATACATAAATAAATGCCGGAAATTCTAATGGCCAGCATGCACCGCTGTATTTACGCAGTACTCTGTGGGCGCTTGGCCGTGTTCAGTGTTACCAAACTATGGTGCCGATGACGCTCTTGAGAGCGACACCTCTAGACTCTGTTTCAAATGCCCTTGAGACACGTGCGAAAATTGGCCAATTTCTGTACACGTTGGTGACGCCTACGCTGGGCAAGCGATGCTTCGACCTGCACCCGCCACACGAAGCGCAGAGGGGTCACTTCACGTGACACCGAATTCAACAAAGTGATGCTGGCATAGCCGACACTTCCGACCCACTGATCAAACACAACTAAACACTGTGACAGCTGTTAGTTCGTGTTTCTCCTATCTACGCCTCTTTTAGAGCGTCCATCACATTTTATCAGCGTCGTTGTAGTGTCAAGTTTTAATAGTTCGCGCCCGTTCTATGAGTGTTTTTTTCGTGTGCACTTTTGGCCTAAAGAGCACTCCGAAAGTATCGACTTTTTTACCGTTCATCGTGGGACATTTTTTTGTTGCTAATACATTCATTGCTTCGTCCTTGCGGTGAAACTGCCACCTTTTTTGTCAAACAAATTCGACATGTAGCATTCTTCGTGGTAAATGCCCTAATGAGTTAAGGTAAGCTATTAAAACTGTTACCGTAATATGGCATATGGTGTGCTAGTGTGTTCACTAGTGCTAAAACATGTGAACTTATACATAGACGATTTTGGTGCTTAGGCTTCACTCAGTATGCACAAAGAGCCCTCACCATAAGTATTGTTATATAACCATCATCATCAGGACCAAAAAACATCTCGTAATGAGGTCCCAATCAGTGGAAAAACGAAGCTCCAACAAGAAATTTTCGACATATTTAATATAACGAGATGAATTGTGTGAGTGGTTTGCATGGCGCATACCTGGTAAGTATATGAGTTTTGTGAACACCGCAGTTTGACGCTAAATTTTTAGAATTTAAGTGGTGGTTTTGGTAGTGGGTAAAGGTTCTTTGGTGTACGTAGTTGTCTATACTTATGGTAAACATGGTGAAGATCTCTTGCACAGATATGCGGCAGCCGCATCGCAGGAGCACTGCGGCTGCACGTAATGAGGCAGCCTCAGCCGTGCTGTGCGCGTTACTGCTCCTTCAAATGTCCCTCTTCAGCTGTGGTGCAAATCTATAAAACCATAATTGGGCATCCAGTTCGTGCCATGGCGGCAATTCTGTTTCTGTGCACAAGTGTTTCTTTCCCGTTTACTAGTAAAATGAAGATGGCCTTGAAATCGTAATAAAATAATTGGCAGACCTCACGTAAAGTAGGAATCAATAATGTGCGAAGCACGAATGAGGAAGGTTGATATGTTACTTCAGAATCAGCCCAACGTCATGAGGCTGACGTAAATTATGCCGTATATGACTTCCATACCGAGATTATCATATTTAGACGTGTCATTTACCTTTGTCATCTACTCACGCCAGGCGATACCAAATTTGCTAAATGTGGCACTGTTAAACTAGCGAAATTGTCGTGAGCACGCTATGAGTTTGGCATGAAGTCATATTTTGCAAGACACGCATATCATAGCTATCATGTTTGGACGTGTCATTTACCTTTTTTTTATAAAAAGTATGTAAGGAGAGGTTGGTGGTGTCATTTACCTTCACAGTGCATTCACGTCGCGTAATATTGAATTCGGTATATGGGGAACTAGCGAAACGGCCGCGAGCGCATCAAGAGCGAGGTAAGTTGTCATGTACATGACATACTTTTCATTATTACCATGTTTGAACCACATACATTCCTTCATCATCCATTGAGGTCACGTAACACCAAATTTGGTATATTTTTAGCTACACGAAACCAAGAGCGTGTCGTGTAGTAAAGACTTGCATAACATGCATTTTATTATATCTGCTTTAGGGTCGCTGACTTAGGTTCCCCATGCAGTCATGTCATTCCATAGTAGTTTTGAAACATGGCATGTGAAACAAACCCACTGCATGAGCAGCAAGACCACGAAGTGTAAATTATGACACTCATGAGATACATGTGATGATTTTCATGTTACTACTACTCACTTTAGTTTGTCAAGCCTTATTGCTTTGCCATACCAATTTTGGTATCAATACCATTATCGAAACGACCAGGAGAGCTAAAAGTCATAGGTGGCTAGACAGACAGACAGAGAGACAGACAGACAGACAGACAGACAGACAGACAGACAGACAGACAGACAGACAGACAGACAGACAGACAGACAGATAGAAAGATAGATAGATAGATAGATAGATAGATAGATAGATAGATAGATAGATAGATAGATAGATAGATAGATAGATAGATAGATAGATAGATAGATAGATAGATAGATAGATAGATAGATAGATAGATAGATAGACCTAAATTTGCTAAGAAATGCTTTGCATTTAAAATTACACTAGCTGTACAACTCGCGTAACTGTATTTTTCTATTGAGTCTTTGCTAGAATCAATCAAGTTACAGCTGCCATTTCAGTAATATCACACAGCTCAAGTGTATTTAACCCCACAACACACAGAAATAAAAATGTTGAACGTGCTATACTTCTATGTCAAGCAAACATCAGTATGATGTAGGCCATAAACATTTCAAGAGGAGGCAGGGCAGTCTCTTGAAAGTAGTGTATTCCCCAGCCCGAGCACTGAATATGTGAGGCCTCATTATTTACGCCACTGCTGTTCTGCCTCCTGGCGCACAACACGCATCAGTGCCATGGTGAGTTCAAAGGGAAACGGCTGATAACAGTACCAGCGCTATCTGCATGTCACGAGCTACAAGAGCACAATGATTGATAAGGAAGGCCACCATATAGAGCCGCGATATTTGTCAAAGAGGCATTAGTGGTGGTGACGGGTGTCAAAAATTGCTGCAATGCGCGCTTTGCGTCTACTGTTCGCCAGAACCAAACCACACACAGCTTGTTGCATGAAGCGCATTATCATTAGAATTCGAGGACGCTCTATTCTCAAAACCTACTTTATTGTAAAATACACTGCAGTGATCACTCATTCATTGTCATTCTGAAATAGTATAGCGCAAATTTCCTCCACATGAATGTCACCACCATCGGTATCCTCATCTTCAGTAGCATACAGTGCTTTTTTGACCTCGAAGTACTTCTTCAGAAAGTCACTCGCGTCTGATGAGCTATTGGCCCCGGAGCCCATATTCTTCTCAATGAGCTTCTTCAGGATATCTCTACCCTTGGATGCGTCACCACTTTCAGAACCCATCTTTTTGCCAAGAAGCTTCTTCACGATGGCTTCTTTTTTGGAGGCTCCATCAGTGTCCGAAGAGTAATTGCCGGCACGCTTCTTTTTTTCGAACAACTTCTTCAGAAAGGCACGGCCTTTAAAAAAATAAAACATGAATTACGAATGAGTTATGTCGAGGCATGCTTGCTATGATGTGGTTTTCGTCATGTGCTTGACTTGTGTAAAGAAGCCTGAGTACGAATTTTTGGCAATATGAAGTCCCAATAACAGTTAAAACTTCTCTTACGGTATATAGTATCTGCATAAAGGTTTTGAATTAAAATTGTAGAAACAGACTCGTGCATTAGTTAGTCGTATTTCATGTGCAGTGTAGCGCCATTTTTAAATCTTTGTTGCAACATGGCGTGATTGAAAATTTGTTTAAGGCGACGTATGTGTTCATTCAAAATTAGGAAAGAAAAACAAGACACAATTAGCAATTCATTGCTGTAAATCTTGCGGTCAGAATACTTGAGAGAGATTTTCTGTTTTGTGTGTCCTAAATACATGACATTACATAGTTTACGTCAATTTTAATTAAATTCTCGACATATAGTCCCAACCACGTCTCAATAGTTACCCCAACAGCCGTTCAGCAATAAAAACTTGCCTGTAGGGGACGCATATATAAGTGACATGCTCATTGTCGTCACAAGAACCCTATGTTGCCTGCGACCTCATGTTTAAGGGATTTCCTACAACGTGATCTTGCGAACTAGCCACGTCTTTCTAACCACTAAGTCTCAATATGTTTCGTTACGCCATTGAATAAGTAAGCATAAAAAATTACTTTGAAGAGAAAAACTTGCCTAGTTTGATGCAAATATTTCGTAAATATGCTAGCTTAATATGATTCTCCTTGCAGTGTAAGTTAACCCTGTTTGAAAATTAGTGAAGTTAAATGTATAAATTTAAAAACAGCATTTTTGAGTATTTGTGAGGTTTTAGGTGTTCTTCAGCTTGCTTCTTAAGCGTAAAAGTAACCTATCAAGAAACCACGCCTCAATATTTTGATTTGCAATTGAACCACCTGTATAGCACCACCTTGTTTATGATTGGTACTTTCACTCGAAAATATATTGGGCTTGAAAGGTAAGTACCTTTTGCTGAATTGCGTGCTTCGCCTTCGTCATCAGAAGTACGCGAACCGCGGCCCTTGCCTCGGCCTCGCTCTCGACCTTTTCCTCTTCCTTGGTCCGTACTGTTTCCATCTTTTCTAAGAGAATCTCTCATACGCTTGAATATCTTGCCAAAAAAATACTCGTCGCTCTGCAAGCATTCGAAATAAAATTTTTCATTAAGGCACGTAACATGATGCATGCAACCAATTATTGCACTTGAATGGAAGTCATGATTTTGAATGAATAAATATATATATATTATATATATATATATATATATATATATATATATATATATATATATAGAAAGAGAGAGAGAGAGAAAGTGTCGGTTTTTAAATTTCAAAATAATGGATGAAAGTGCGATAAAGTTTTAATCTAGCGTTTCTGGTATGGTCCGGCCTTCGACAGGGAATTCCCTGACGAAGGCTGGACCTTGGCTCAAACGTTGTAAAAAAAGGTTTTCACACGTTCGTCTGTTATTTTCAACTTTGTTTATATATATATATATACAGAAGAAGATTTTTTCTATGAGCCAATTGTAATTGGGAAGAGAGAGAAGAACAGAAGTTAACGGTTGCCTTAATTTTATTTCCGACGGTTTCAACTGGTCTGAACCGTTGAATAAAATTAAGGCAACCGCTAAGTTGTGTCTCTTATATATATATATATATATATATATATATATATAGTCCAGTAGATCCTCCGTGAGCGGTCACAACGTGGTTTATTTCGACGTTTCGGCCTAGAGTCTGGCCTTCATCCTGCTGAAGGCCAGACTCTAGGCCGAAACGTCGAAATAAACCACGTTGTGACCGCTCACGGAGGATCTACTGGACTATATGCAACGCTACGGCCACTCAACCACCATGCCTGCCTAAATATAAATATATATATATATATATATATATATATATATATATATATATATATATACTGTTTCCTGTACTGTATATACTATACTGTTTTCTGCTCACACCTGGTTATTTTGCACCCAGTTTTTTTCTTTTTTACATTACATTTGTTCTAATAATTTCCCCTACACATTCCTCGGCATCATTGTCTGTTAGATATCATTATTATTGTGTCAAAACACGAAAAAACGAGCCCTTAGGTTTACACTTCTTTCTCTTATTCATTAACGAGGGTCTCGTACTGGCAGACTTGGAGCCAATAGGTTTTATACGAGGGACTATTGGTCAGCTTCCAGCTCATAATAAGTTCACGTACTACGTGACGCCAAACAGGCTCATGAAGAGTATGCCACACTTACCGCCATGACTACAGCGGTGGCGCTGGCTGACAATCTCGCGTCTAAATTTACATAAGACCCAATAAAGGGGCTGGAGGGATAGCCGTCGTGGTAGCTCAGTGATAGAGCAGCGAATGCGTTATTCGAAGGTCACAGGTTCGGTTCCTGCTTACAGCAAGTTATCTATTTGTTAACCCACTTTTCTTTCTTCTTATTTCAATTTCTATTTGTTCAGATAGCTTTGCCTATACTTTCCTTGGCAAGATTGTCTGTTAAATCTCATATTGTGTCAAAACCCGGAAAAATTAGCCATTTATATATATATATATATATATATATATATATATATATATATATATATATAATTTTCCGAGGTATGACCAAACCACTGTAGTGATCATCATCGTATGTCACGTGGGCTGGGTCTCTTTGGCTCGAGCACCTGGCTCGAGCACCTGGTTACTGCCGTACCGGACGTGGTCTCATAAGTGGCGGAGCGTGCTTTGGTTCCCACGTCCTCCTGCTCTACCCGTCACCCCTGGAGCTCCGGTCTGGTCAATGATTGTGCCCTCAAGCGACGGCGATGGCTGAACCCAACGCGTTGTTACCTGGACGACATTGTCATCTTTTCGTCCAGCTTCTCACAACACCTTGAACGGCTAGACGAAGTCCTCACGTGTTTGCTAAGGCCGGTCTCCAACTCAACACCAAGAAGTGTCGGTTTGCCCGTCACAGCATCAAGGTATTAGGTAACGTCGTCTGTAAACTTGGCGTTGAGGCCGATCCTGACAAGGCTGCCACGGTACTGCACTTTCCTACACCAACCACACCCAAAGACCTCCGCCGCTTCCTTGGCTTGGCGACGTATTTTCGCTACTTTGTACGTGACTTCGCTACCATTGTGGCTCCTCTGCACAAACTTCTAACCCCGAGCGCACCCTTTGTCTGGTCGGATGACTGCAAAGCCTCTTTTCACACCCTCAAGCGATGCCTCACATCACGGCCAGTGCTTCGCCATTTCGACCCTGCAGCACCTACTTTGCTACACACTGACGCAAGCGGACTTGGCATCGGTGCTGTACTTCTTCAGCAGAACCACGCTTTCGAAGAACAAGTCATGGCCTCCGCGAGCCGTACTATTTCACCTGCTGAACGAAATTATAGCATCACTGAGCATGAATGTCTTGCCATCGTGTGGTCCGTACAAAAGTTTCGCCCTTATTTATACGGCCAGCATTTCACATTAGTGACTGACCATCATGCTCTGTGCTGGTTATCGTCTCTCAAAACTTTGTCGGGACGCCTTGGCCATTGGGTACTACAATGGCAAGAGTATGACTACAGCGTCACATATAGGTCGGGTCGAGAGCACCAAGATGCCGACGCGTTGTCACGTTTCCCGCTCTCGCTGAGAGCAGAAGTGTCACCTTCCATCTGTTCGTCACTGCCCTCCAAAGTGACTAAGCAGACAGCTGTTGGTTCGAAAGAGTTCATTGCCTCGTCGAACCTTCTTTCGTCCATGGATCTCGCCTGGCTCCAACATGCCGATACCTACTGCCGCACAATCATCGATCGGCTCACTGGCTTATTGCGTGCTCCAAACAGCCGCCTAAGACAACTCGCCCGTTTCAAGCTTCAAGATGGAACATTATGGCGGCAAATTTATTATCCTCTCAGTATTCAATGGGTTCCCGTCATTCCTCGCTCACTTCGTCTGGACGCTTTACAAGCGTTTCATGACGATGCGACAGCTGGCCACTGAGGGTTCCACACGACTTACGACCACCTCAAGACTCACTGGTTTTGGCCTGGCCTCTCCACTTCTGTCGCCAAGTACGTCGCTTCCTGCGCGTAATGCTAACACCGAAAACGTATCACACCTCTTCTCGCGGGACCATTGCAACAACTTTCGTACCTATCCACTCCCTTTGAATTTGTGGGCATAGACTTATACGGACCTGTTCCGCTTACGCCAGCCGGTTACCGTTGGATTGTTACTGCCATCGACCACCTTACTCGCTGCGCGGAGACGGCAGCTCTTTCATCTGGTGCTACCTCTGAAGTCGCCGATTTTTTCCTTCGCACCAATATTTTACGACATGGCGAACCGCGTGCGCTTCTTAGTGACAGTGGCAAGACATTTCTTTCACATGTTCTTGATGAAGTCCTCCAGGCCTCTAACACCATCCACACGACCACATCAGCGTATCACCCAGAAACTAATGGTCTGACTGAGCGTTTTACTGAACTTTGTCTGACATGATCTCTATGTACGTTCAGATGGATCACAAAACCTGGGACACTATACTTCCCTTCGTCACGTTCGCATATAATACTGCCATACAGCGTACGACGAATTTCAGCCCTTTTTTCCCCCTTGTATGGCCGTGTACCGACTTTTGTTCTGGACACCACCTTTTTGTCCACATCCTGTGTTCCATCTTCATCACTCCCGGAAGAGTTCGCCGCTCGCGTCGCCCGCTGCCGTAAAATTGCCCGCGCCAACACTGCTACCATTCAGGACAAGAGAAAAATCTACATGGATGCAAAGCGTCGAGTTCTTCTGTTCAGCCTAGGCGACGAAGTCCTTTGGGGACACCTGTTCGTGCACCTGAGCTCTGCGAAAAATTCCCTCACCAATATCTCGGTTCACACACCGTCTTGGAACGAACTCCTGAACTATCGCGTTGCTCCTGTTAACGCGGCTCCTGATCGCCGTCGCCGCCGCACCGAGATCGATCACGTCTCTCGAGTGAAACAATATATTCGGCATCCCAACCCTTTCTAACTTGCTGCCCTCTTTCACGAAGGGGGAAAATAGTGTGAGCGCTGACTATATACTTCATCTTCATCTGTATAACCAAACCATTGTAGTGATCATCATCGTATGGCACGCGGGCTTGGTCTCTTTGGCTCGTGCATCTTGATTAAAAATATAACCTGGTGACTGCCGTACCAGACGTGGTCTCATATGAATATATATATATATATATATATATATATATATATATATATATATATATATATGGCAAGAAAAGAAAGGCAACTTAGCGGCTGTTTTAGCTATAATAGCACTAAGACAAGCACTAAGATGTGTCTTTTCTCTTCCCAAGTATGTTTGACCCGTCGGAAAAACTTCGTCGTTATATATATATATATATATATATATATATATATATATATATATATATATATATATATTGTCTATTTTTTGTCTTCCTAATCCGCTTGCCTTCTCTGGGAATCAATTAGTTATTCTTAATGACTAGTGGTTATCCTGTCTACACGCTACATGCCTAGCCCTTGTCCATTTCCTCTTCTTGATTTCAAATATGATATCCTTAATCCCCGCTTGTTCCCTAATCTACTCTTCTCTCTTCTTGTCTCTTTACGTTACACCTACCATTTTCCTTTCCGTTGCTCGGTGCGTCGTCCTCATTTAAGCTGAACCCTCTTTGTAAGTCTCCAGGTTTCTGCTTCATAACTAAGTACCGGCAAGATGCAGCTTTTATATACCTTTCTCTTGAGGGATAGTGGCAATATACCTGTCATGATTTGAGAGTGCTTGCCAAATGTACTCCACCCCACTCTTATTCTTCTAGTTACTTGAATTTCATCGTTCGGCTCGGTGGTTATTAGCTATCCTAAGTAGGTATAGTCTTCTACAACTTAAAGTGCACTATTACCTATCTCGAAGCGCTGCTCGCTTCCGAGGTTGTTTTACTTTACTTTCATTTTTGACAGATTAATTTTAAGACCTGCCTTCCTGTTCTCCTTGTCTAACTCCGTAATCATGTGTTGCAATTCGTCCCCTGAGTTACACAGCATCGCAATGTCATCACCGAAGCGCAGGTTACTATACGACCACGCACAAACCTACCGCAGCCTCTTGTCCAGTGAGAGTGGGGAGGGGGGGGAGGCACGTGCTAGTACTACCACATAAAAGGATAGCATGCCAACCTGAAATAGCTTCTTTCTGCTTGCTTGCACTTTAAAATGTGCGAAAAATGAGCAATAGGTTGCGCTTGAAATTAGAAACAATGTGATGGTTACAAACCTTGTCTTCCGTCTCTTCGGTATCCGTGGGCTCCAAAGCATTGCATATTGCAGGAACTTCATCAAAGAATACATCAACTTCGCTCCTTTCTTCTACTTCTTCAGAAGAATTGGCTTCATCAAAAGCAACGTCTGATGCTGAAAACAGTCCAGAAAAAATGAGATGTCTTCTTATAAAATCAGCATTTAGTTCATCACTTCGTAAAAAAAGCAATTCCATGAAGAATATGAAAATACCGTGAAATGTTTCTGTTTTAGGTGTTATAGCCATCACAATCTGATATTTGCATTATACCGCTATGTTAAGGTGATAGATGCGGGTGTCATTAGGTGCTCAGCTGTCCCTTATCAATGTGGCTGATATGGACGCAAAATAACAACGCGAGAGATCACTGTAGATAGGTTTATGTATCTTTAAAGAACCACAAGCGGTAATACTTATTCCAAAGCCCCTGTAGCGAGGAACGTGAGAAATGCGTGAAGGTGGCCGACGTGGCCGTGTCGATCTCGCCAATTTACTTCAAGGCAAAACGGAGTGATTGCGGCTGCCGGCGTAAGACCACCACGAGCGTGAGCTCGTTTTACCGTGGATCTTTCTTCGAGCTCTGTGTATGAGCTGTGCTAGGGTGCGATGTGATTGCTAGAAACTGATGGTGATGAATGGCGGTGATGACGATGCATCCCCTACTATAGCATTCTTTAGAGCAGTCTCAAACTCACTTCAGCCAGCGGGTTACAGCCACTCAATTACGTTCCTCAAGGCCCGGGGCAGTGAAGAGAATAAAAAGGGAAGGGGGCGGTTGGTCTTTTGTCAAAATTGTCAGCAAACGTGACGTCAAAGAAACCCTTTCGCATATCGCATTTGTGAATCATTTCTATAGAGATGTCATGCCTGGATTCATATAAGATATCGATACCGATTTTCGAAATAACGAAAAGCTGCACACCAATTCCGGAATACAGTTTTGATTTCATGCCTATGCCTCAAGACAAGGGGGTGACTAGATGAAGGGCATCACTAAAACAATGATTTAGACATGTGTAGCTAACGAACAAAGCTATTAAATAATTTTGAAATTGTGAGCGAAGGCAAAGGCAGTCACGTACAGGCCACGGGTCACAAGAGAATCACTCGCGAGCTGCAGTTTTCGACTCTTGCTTTAGACACACATCTTTGTTTCCACACGACAGAGCACAGTAGTACTTTTTAGGTAAATTAGTCTTAAATCAAGAACCTAACTAGATATTCATGCACCTTTGTTGAGGTGCGTAGATGTTGCTAGACTGTGTATGGGATTTCGCGTGTGCAATACCTGCCAAACACCCGTGCAGCCTAGCACGGATATGCTGCGAATTCGCGTTTACTATTAGGACCGCGACAGAATCAATTCATACGGAGTCAGACTTGCAGTGCCCTCATGTGGTACTACTGAAACAGTCGCACTTCGGCTTAGATTTGTGGGAATAAATTTCTTCCTGTCGCTAGCTTTCATTATGAAAAGTGATTAGTGGTTATTTAGCATACCTAAGGGCCCTCATTGCAGAGAAAATAGTAAGCATTGACGCCTTTTCTTTTGCCAAGGATTACGGAAACATTTCTGTAGGGTGTGTAGCACAGATTGCTTTAAGATTTGCGGTCAACTAGAGCTCTTGCTCCTACAGCTTGCTTTGGCATTAGTGAGTGCGCTCGCTACCAAAGCAGCAATAATTCACACCATATTTATGCCATGCTTTGGAACTCTAATCTATAGAAGACATAATGGCACTGTCATGCTGGCAGTATTGCATATCTGCCAGGCTCGTTGAACAAAGCTGTCGCCCAATCTCATCAGTTGATAGATGTGAAAAGTAGAAAACACAAGCTAACATTTATACACACACAGAGAATACTAAATAGACTCAGTTACTGTGTGAGATTTCCTAATTATACGTCACCACCTAAAACACTTGCCTTAGCTATGGGATAATTCCTCGGTGGGTAAGGAAGCGACTTTGCAGATAAATACCCCCTTCCAATGAAAGACATCGTTATGTCTCAACACAGACTGCGCGGTAACATATCGCTGCATAAGTAACGCGTCATACATTACAAAACTTCATGCACGTTCTTAAGGACAGCACAACAGACGGCGTCCATAATGAATGTTGTGATATAATCTGTCCGCTTGTAATTTCACTCAACTTAACTTCTGCTCAACGTTCAAAGAGTACAACTTCTTTATAAAAGTATACTAAAATTATATTAAATTACTATGCCACTTAAAATACTTGTCGGGACCTTTTAAAAGGATTATGCTCTCCACTCTATCATGAGAGATCGTAGCGGTTTTGGCAAACTTAAAAGCCTGTTGTGACTGGAAAGAACCAAGCGTGTAGCAGAGAGGAAAGGGTAGAAAGGGAATTCGGGCAGGTAAGAGCATAGAGTATTAACGGTGATTATGGTGTGCGGAGACGTTGATCCACAAAACGTAAAAACTGGGCTGTTGTAACTCGAAAGCAGACACCATTACGCGCATGTGCGCTTCCTTGTCAATGATTTACCTGAAATGCGATCTTTTCAGTGCCACATTTTATCCATGCATAATTCTCATAGTATTTTTTTAGTATCACTGAACTTCGAACATATTCAAGGTGTTATTATGAATAAGTTCTACGTATAGGCAATTATTTTGCGTGGCTACAGTGACCAACAAAACTGCATAAAAAGCCGAGTAGCTGCAGCTGTGCAAGCTGTCAACAAGTGTGCCTTCATTGAACAGGTAGCAATGTGTCTACGAACATAAATAGTCACGATGATGACATATAATCTATAATTCCTATTGGTGTTCACCCTTCCTTTGCAGTCATTAGCTTCCGTTTATAAACTCATTGAGCGTGTGGTAAAAGGCAATTGTAAAAATTTAGAAAGGTAACATTCGACTATTATTTGTCGGTTACCTTTTTTTTAATTGTTACGCTGAAGCTTGAACACTGGTACACAATTTTTTTTCTGCATAAAGCAGTCAATGAACGCGCACTGTACCTTTGCCATCATTGTGCACATTGTTCTTGTTTAGCTTTACACTTACCTGCTATGGCAACGAAGGCAACGGTGAATAAAACAGTAAGAGTTCCCTTCATGTTGCCTGAAAATCGATCAAAAAGATGCATTAGCATACGAACGTTCTGTTGCAAATAAAGAAGGAGAAAGGGCCGGCGGGCGCGAGCCTAAGCCACAAGGCGCAGGCTCGCTTAGTTGTTCCTTTGACCTTCGGTGTAGCCAGAAGATCGGGTCCCGGGTCCCCTTCTTCGTTTCTTCACACTTCATTCTGGTGCCGAAACACGGCACCAGAATGTATGAACACAAGCCTCTTTTTGAAATGCTTCACAATTGATCAACATAAGTTTACGATTTATTGATGGTGCTGCAGAAACATTTTGAGAAGTTCCTAGACATAACTTCTTAATTACGAGAGAGTTCGTTTCTTATTGTTCTTTGGAAGCGTAAGTCTTCAACGTAAATTTGTTTGACGGTCGTCTTGTAATGCAATCTGCCAGTTGAGCGGAGCAAAACTAATTTTAGTCACTGTGTAGTATGGGACAGAACACGATCGCACATGCACAATGCAGTAAAATGGTATTGCACAAAAGAGGACAAAATGTGCTGGTAAGGTGATTGAATATGCTCGTAAAAATTACCCATTTGGCAGTTATATACACGTATTGTTATCAGGGTGCACCAGCAGCCAGCATACATTTACAAGAACGACTGTTATAAAGAGGTACGTACCTGGTGAATCAAACAGCTTGAACTGAACTTTTTACGCTGCTTGATACATGCATATTTACTGCCCATTAGCATGTTTTATTTTTGTTTTCTTGATTCTGCTATCGCACTAAAGCAATGCTGTGCGTGTTGGGTTTTACTAAGTGAACCCCTGACCCATTAAAACGATTCTCAACAATGATGAGCAACAAATAGTTTTATTCAATTTCACTACGTCGTTTTTGAATAGTCGCAGTGAAAAGAAATATTTGTAGAATGAATGCGTTCGTATCCGATGCTCGTTTTTTTTTCGCTCCCTGTGCATGGTTGCAAAGCAAAGTATATTTTTAGGTGAGCTCAATCTTTGTACCTCGCTTTGAGCAGCATTTATTTTAAACCAGTATTAAGGCTTTCAAAAGTTTTATTTTATATTTGATTTGTCAAAAAACAAGTTATCATCATTATTGAACAAAGCGTTCTTTTCTTGGGTTTAAGGAAAGTCCACACAAAGGTTATCACACAGTGGCACCTACTGAAAAGCAAATAACTTTTGGCATATCCACGCTATTATAGCAATGATATCGAGTATCTAATATGACCGCATCGTGAAAGCCACCGCGTGGCTTCTGCTAAATAAAACGAACACCGAAGGTAGCATTATCAGACATTTAGTATTCGCAGATTGCAAAGATGAGAAGTGTGTTTACTATTGCATATTTAAAAGCAAATACTACAGCTGACTTCGAGACCTGACGCAAAGCCTACTTGCTCATTGAAAGCGTATGCAATTTGACGGACTTACCAACAAATCGAGGTGGCCTTTCAGCACTACTTGTAAAAACAAACGCCGAATGCCGTTCTTTTCTACTGACTGCTTTATATATACAGCTAAAACAACAGTCACACTGTCACACTATGTTGTCTTCTCTTACGTGTTTTCGTTCTATAGATAGACTGACCAATGAAAATGTAGAATGTGCTTTGTTTACCGTTCTCTCTGGATAATTGTTGCCGTTGCCAGTTGCATTAATACATGAAAACATCATAGCACCTCGTGGGATGATGAGCATACGCCATCCCAAAGGGGTACCACGCGTACCTGAATGGCGTTAAGGGGATGCAGCTTTATCGGCTGTTTTCTCCGTATTTCGACTTGGTCCCATTGTTTTAGGTGCATTGGCCGCTCTTCTTTATGTTATCTCAACACACGTGTTATTACTTTCAGATAACTTGCTATCGCAGGTACGCAAACAAGCGTCATAGTGGTGTCCACGCTCTCACGTTGCTTGAAATTCATAAAGACGTTCATTCAGTCTACACTTTGACTTTGGTATAGGATCGTTGTCTGATTCTTATGACAGCCCATCAGCTGCTAATTCTTCTCGCAATTTTTCTCAAAACATATTCTAGCAACACTTGCATCTTCATTTTCATGATTTTAATAAATAGTGCATCCACAAAAAACGCTCCCCGGTTGGCACTAAGACTCTATTGAAGCCTTTGCCAGGTTCTTATGTTTATCTGACGTGTAGAACGGTATAGACGCAGACACATATCACTACATACACGCAGACACATATCATTCTTTGTGTTTTATGCAGGTGAAAATGCTTGAGGCCACTGTTCCTAAATTTTGATGCACAGTAAGAACCAGACGTGGTCGCGATTTCCGGAGCCCTCCACTATGGCTCCTCTCATATAGTCATACGGTGGATATGAAACAGTAATACCCTGAATTCTTATTATTATTATTGTTATTAGTAATGATATTATTATCAGTATAATAATAATAATAATAATAATAATAATAATAATAATATTATTATTATTATTATTATTATTATTATTATTATTATTATTATTATTATTATTATTATTATTATTATTATTATTATTATTATTATTATTATGTTCGTGTTTTAATTGCATCTGGACACTTGCGTGTGTTTTTAGACATAACATTTCGCGTAGGCGCACTTATCGTCTGAGGTTCGAGACAGATGCTTTATTTGTTTTTTTTTACACTGTGATTGCATGTTAACGAATATTTTCTCTCATTCAGCAATGGCTGCTGAGAAAAAGGCAAATCAGAAGGTATTGAAGCAAAGTAACGAAACCTGCCTAAAGTTGTCCACCATAATTTTCGCTCCACAACACCCTGCCACAGCACCACAACACTCCGCCTTACTACACTGCGTCCTGCATCATATCGGTGCCATACGTTTTTGTCTCTTTGTGAAATAAACCTTATACATTGCCTAGCTGGTGCTGCACAGCGCAACGCCACGCAAGAACGTAATGCGCAGCATGGTGTCATCTATGTAAACTTTGATTGCAAAACTCGCCAACCACTGCCATTTTTTTGTGGTGTCCTGTGTGTGTGCCTTTGGAACGGGGTGTTTGTACATGACTCATAAAACATCAGCATATACTAAAAACTACAGCTTCATCTAAAATGTCGACGAAACTTGAGAAATCCGAACAAATAGTATTATAACATATCAGGGCTTTAATTAGCGTACCTCTGTGTAATGCAGTCGCGTTCAAAGGTACATGGACCTGCGTCTGCATTTTTTGACAGCTTCTCTCCAGTTTTAAGATTTCCTCGTTTTCCTTTTTTTCTGCTCGCTATCACGTCTACCGTTAGTCGGCTTAGCGCCAAGACAAGAGCTCTGGTGTTTAAGTCAAGAGCAAGTGAAGGTCAATGATAACCGGAGGTAAAGGCATTTTGTGCTTACAATCGCAATCTCGTGCTGGAATCGTCTTTAGGTAATCCGCATGGTACTCTGGTGTTTTGCCCCATAATGAGAGAGTAATATGATTTAGTGCAGAAGTAGCACAGTCTGAATGGGACAACCACGGGATTACTACGATTTGTTTCAGCAAGAAATCGTGCACTACCGTCGCGTAACATGAGAAATCGCGTTAACATATGTAATACCGCATGACAGAATCGTGCGTAGAATCACACAAGTAGGTGACTCACGTGTACATCAATCACAAAACAATCAGGCATAACAATTCATCATCACGATCACAAATGAATGGGGCTAAATCACGTTATCACTTTCCAATCGGAATAATAGTACAATTATCTGCGGTTTAGCGTCCGAAAACCACGGTATGATTAGGAGAAATTGTACTTGAGGGCTCCGTGAATTTCGACCACCTGTTCTTCTTTAACGTGCTCTGACTCCGCGAAGTACTGGGGCCTCCATCATTTCGCCTTCATTGAAATACAATCGCCACTGCCTGGATCAAACCCCCCAGCTTTCAATCAGTAGCCGAGCACCGGGGCTGCTACTCCACCATGGTGGAGTTTATATCGTAATGATAAAGCTTAAGTGTTCTTCGTATATTCAAAATTTTGCTAAGTTCAAATATGTCATTTGTATTGAAGGAAGAGACGGTATAATTTGTGCATGCTCCATGAGAAACATAGTTCTCCTATGATTTTAGCTCACACTTTTTGACTGTTGTATTTTTTAAAGACATATGATGACCTTACGCAAATGGAATTGCTAGTGCACCTGAGCTGCAATGCTCTTGTGTAAAAGATTGCGTTTTAGAAGCGGATGTAATGCACCCGGAACACGTTTAAGCCTCGTGCTCTAATCGCAGAGCATAATACTCAATACACTCACTTTAGAGTATTTATTGTCGAGATGACACCATGAAATAATCAGTATAACGCAATACACATCAGTCGGCCAGAACTCTCATTATATGCTCTCACCACAAGCAATCTTGTTACCAGCCCGTGCACTTGGCACAAATCTGCGTGTCAGTATACGTACAAATGCTGATATGAACTTTGCGAGAACAATAGTTGCCTCTACAACATGAACTTTTGTGACAACGCATTAAGGCTCAATAAATAAACTTGCCCTGTAGCGACAAACGTCAGTCCGATAGAACGATAATTGTAGGCAAAAAGTTTCTGTTACCTTTTTTCCGACAATCGTGGGCCTTACCCAAGTGGATAACAAATCTGATTTTGAAAGCGCAGGCAACAGGTGATGCACAATGAGTAGTCCACCATTTTTCCGGTCATTGTTCCAGGCCAAGTGAAAGTAAACATTTTTTCGCCAAAGAGCACGACTTATTGCTGTTTCAGTTAGCATCGCCGTTATCGGTCAAGCGATTCATCGTAAGAAGTTTTCCTGCGTCGGGTGCCATTGTCACACCATTGCTGACTGCGCCCACTAGCGAATGCCGCTATCTATTTTCAACAAACTCTGCGCATAAATTACACACAGATATTTGTTTGTTGTTTATTTGTTTCTTCACTGTTTTGCCACAATGGCATCACCATCTAAACTCACAAATCTTTCTCTTCAACAATGAATCACCTAGGTACTCGTTTTTGGTTCATAGGGTATGTTGTTTGTAAATACAAAACACTAAATCTGTTCGGCATATTCTTGAAACAAGAATCTCTAGAATCACGTAAGTAGAAAAAAGATTGTGACATCCAAATCCGGAGAAATGCCGTATATTGTGCTAAACTTTTGTCTACGATTGTAACACACTCCACTATTGTATACTAAAGCTGTACTCATCTTAGAAATTTCAGCTAAAATTAAGAGCTTGCTCTTGTTTGGGTGGCGCCTAAAGGATAACGTTGAATTTCACTGTGATTGTGGCCATTCACGCATATTTCAAGCCAGAATCACAGTTTAACATATTCTGACCATAACTAATCATTATCCTGGTCAACATATCCACAGTTATCCCAGTCATTCATACATTGTAAGATGTTATCAAGTTTTGTTGTTACAATAATAATAAGGTTTCATTGTTGGTATATGACCAGGTACATTCGCTATGTCGCATGATTGGAGCGATATCAGTTTAGCGCAATATATAACTTGCAACAAAAACGCAACAACTCTTTGACACTGTTGGTTTGAACTTTCATGGGAAGTGCTGCATGTTGAGAAGGAAATATGCTTTCGGTTTACAAATCCCCCAAAAGTAGACAGGCTTCTGGTTGCTCTAAAAAACTGCTCGGGCTCGTGAATCTCAGCAGCACTGGCAGTTGGGCAAGTTGGATTTCGGTTCATGTTTAAGAACAGCTCAAAAACACGATCCAGACACCAAAGGAAGAAAACGCAACTTTGGCACCCTTGATTGTATTGTCTTCGTTTGGTGTGGTGTCCAGTGATCCTGCGCCGTTCTTAATCATGGGCCACGGACAGCCTGAAAGCCCGGCAATATCCGGCCTACAAGCTTGGTTACAGTTGGGTAAGGGGTTGCCGGATTGGGTTCCGGCCATGCTCGTGCCGATCACCTTCATCTTCGGTGTAGGCGTGATTCAGGTCTGTGTAGGCCTGGGTCTTATACGTATAATAATGTTGTTGTTATGTTATTGATATTGGTACGTGGGTTTGGACGTCTCGAAAAATCTTAAGCTATGCGACACATCTTAGTGGAGGGCTTCGAATGTTTATTAGCGTGCACGGAATTCGCACAGTACGGGGGCTTTGAGCATTTAGTATTTAACGGTATACCACATCGCTGTGCGTTGCAACACAAGCACCTTGCGAGCCACAGCCACCCAAACTTTGCTGCTCTGTTCGCACTGGGGCCTTTATACGACGGCGACTAAGACAGCCACTATCCCGCCTTCGGTCGCTGCGGAGGATCACGCTCCGGCCTCCAGGCCAACCACGGACGACAGGGAGCGCTGAGGAAAGTGCGCGCTAGCAAGCATTTAGTCCTCTCTTGTTTCAAGACATAACGCTAGAGTGGTCATACAAATGCGAAGATATCGGTATCCTCGAGGAACGGCGACGACGCTAGTGTGACCTCCTTAACCTGTGTGGCTTGCTATGACCCTTATATAAGACACTTGTGTGGCGGTAACTTGGGCAACAAGGGTAGAGGAGAAGACGGCTTCATTGTGAGCGCTAAAACGTAGTGTACGGGTGGGTTACTTGACTAAGGAAAAATCGAAAGTGTGGCTTCAGTTTGCGTAACGCTGCCCAACCTGGTGAATGCCTCTTTGAAGGAATACAGGGTGTTTTTTTCCCTTTTAGTTGCAATCTTGAACAAATTTTTGCGAAAGACGTTCTGCTGATTTTACTCAACAACCCTAGCTCGTCAGCAATGAATAAAAACTCAATTATTTGACAAATTTTCACCATTTTTATGATAATTGGCGTTGTATTTTGTTGTTGCTCTTCAAAGTACGATGTTGAGAATACGTTGTTCACTCTGTGTAAATGACAAAAGCCAGCTATGTCGACATTTGTATTGCACTGTATTTATTCCGCAAGTGCTTTACAGGTGTAAATTACAGAAGAGTACACGCATTGTCCGTGGAAATTGGGACACCATGAAAAGTTTCACAACACTGCTCTGAAAATATTTTGTATGAGACGCATATCTTAACAATAACCGATAAGAGGAAATCAGCTTCTGTAGGCTTATACCATTATTGGATTAAATATACCAAGCCGGGTGAGGGCGGGTATGAATTTTTTGCCACTGGCAGTGTACAATTTACATAAAAACACCGGAATCAGGCTGGCCGGAGTATGTCGTTTTAGGACAAGCCAGGCTCAGGCCGAGTATGCCCACTCGTACAGCACTCTAGTTTACTTGTCCCGTAAGGCATAGATCCTCAAATATTTCAATTACCCAAAGACGTTCCCAGGAATTTCAGCTTTATATAAGCCATACGAATATATGGAAGAAAATTTTATCATGTGCAAGCTTTCAATTAGCTACATTCAGAAAGCACAGGAGGTTTAACGGCAAGGCAAGCTTTTTCGAGAATTATCTCTCCCACCATTACAAAATCAAGCTTCATGCAAGTCTTTATTTGTAAATGCAGATGTTAGTCGCCTACTTCTAGATAGTTCACATGACAACCCATCAAAATGCCGATTTGAATCAGCCCTAGTTGCATTATTTTCACTGCACCATACTCGGCTCACTCAGTTTTAAAAAGAATTTCTGTCCGCGGCCAACAAGCAGCGCCTTTCAAACGATTTCTCATAAAGCATTGAACGTTTCTTTCTGACAACGAGATTATCGGCATTTGAAAGCTCATTCAATGCGAGTGTTATAGTAACGTGCAAGTGCACATATACGTGTTAAGGACGTTGTATTGTCTGTTATTGATGGGCTTGCATGAAATTGGTGAAGATCAAATAAGTCCAGCATGCTGCAAGCAAACTTCTGATAAAGTAATGTTACTACTTCTATTCGTAAATAATTCTAATGCAGTGTCATGATGTTATTCCAGAGGCACCAGCGTAATTTTTATGCCCCACTAAGTTTCTTGGAAAATGCTTAGGTATAATACTAAACACAAAATGTTTTGTATACTTCACCCATTCATGATAAGGAGTACCAGACGGTTCATTTTAGAGCGAACATTACATCATGCTATATAAATAAAAAAACATAGTTCTCGTTGAGGTAGGTAATATCGAAAGTTAATTTACGAGCTTTTCTAATTGCGTGTAGTGTTTTTCACACGAATTTTTGTCCAAGGAAATGATTATTTACTAGAGTTACCGCAACGACGTGTATCTACCGATACTACAGAGGAAGGAAAGAAGTCAAGAAAGAAACATGATGACTCTCCTGTGGCTTATACCTATGTAGGGTTAGGCCACAAGTGCAGTGGGCTAAGAAGAAGCAAGAGTAATGACATAAGCGAACAAGGTGCCCTGTTTTGCAAACAAAGATAATACATCTTTAATACTTATCAAAATATCTTACAACATATCGCAGTGCACATCAGTTTACACAGAGAACACGCATAAAAAGGGACGACAGAAGCGCTGAACCTGGTGTAGCCTGGAGGAACATTGTCTAACCTGGTGTACGCTGTCATATGCTGCACTGTTTTACCAACTAGACCGCCAATACGTTTTCAGTAAAATATCTTACTGCCCAATACTCGGGGTTGGAAACAGGACAAGTTAGGGCTAAGTAACACCCACTTTTACTTTCCACTGTCTCTAGTTCACGAGTCGAACACGCACTTCAAATTGCACATTATTTCAAAGATCGGATTTCTCGCGACTTGACGCGGTTATTTTGAAACACTGCACCAACCAGTTCCTATGGTTTCGTGTTTCGATTTGTCAGTATTGTATGCAGCCGTCATCAAGTTTAATACGAACGCTTTTTATTACGTTCTTCTGCACATTACACAATAATAATACAGTGCATAAAGAGTACAACACAGGTAGCAAATAGCATGGTTACAAAGTGATTAGAAGTCCTTTATACAGATTAGTGTCTCAAGTTGTTCGATCCACTCTGGCACTGGTTGTCTAATTTTACAGTCTTTAATGAAGTTGGTGATCATTCGCTGGAATTCATCACGAAAGGGCTGTGTATTGATGTCGGCATGGCGAAATACCATGCGCCTTTTCTAATAATTTGAAAGCCGAACAAGATAACAGCATCATAAGCTGCTTCATCGTATTTTTCATTCACCTGTCAAAACTTTGTCCCATAGGCATCATGGAATGAATTGTTCTTGATAGCTCTTTGCAGAATTTCAAAGAAGAACACACCTTCCCAATAATCCAGAAAGACATGCTTGATTGTTTCAGGTTTAAGGCAGGTAAAACAGTGCATTCACCATGGTGCAAACAAACCCCCTTCTTGCATAGACGTTTTGATTTCTAGAGTCCCTGTATAGAGCTTAAAGAAGCATTTTGAAGTAAATGGGATAGCCATTTTTTTTACTCGGGCCAGTATTTGTTGGCTATGTCCAGCAACATACAGACTCTTTTGAAGTGGTACTAGTAAAACAATGTTTACAAGGTCTCTATACAACCTTTTTCGTTTTACTTTCACTAGATACTCACTAGAAAACGTGCCAATAAAAAAACTGCATGCGCCAACTACTACTCTTAATTTACCCTAAAGCACCCAATGCACGAGATCCGAGGTGACAGCGATTGAAGGTAGAACTCTCCAGGGCCTCAGCTGAATAATTGCTAGTAGTAACGGATCTCTTGTGTCTCACAGAAACATAAAACGACTTAAGACCTGCCTGAAAAGA